GGATAAAGTCAGTGTGCTGCAGAAAATGGCAGGCTTTGAGACCCGCAGCGATGCGCTATTCCACAGCTACCTGGAGCTCATCTACGATATTTACACAGAACCTTCATTACGCAGGAGTGATTTGACGTCTCGACTGGAACAATGTTTCCTCCTTGGGTGTCGTGCTCGAGATCCTGTGCTCAGAGAACGATTTATGGACCTCCTGGACAGTAGCATCCCTCGTTCTCTTCAAAGTCGTCTAGCATATATTTTGGGAGTCCAGAATTGGGAACCTCTCGCGGACCATAACTGGATCTATCTTGCACTCCATCTCCTTCTCGGAGCTGTTGACGGCGAAGTGCCATTGATTTCGGAGCGGAGGATCAGCATGGTACCCTTAAATGGCCACTTCGTTACTCGACAGAGTGCAGCGTCCGTCATTCGTGCCATGCAGAGATTGGCATTCCTTGACCCTCAAGTTGCGCACGACACTTGGTTATCGGTCTTTCCCGCGGCGTGGGCGTGTCTTTCTCGTCGAGAACAGGCGGACATGACACTCCACATGATTAACCTGCTGGGCAAGGACTTTCATGCCAAGCAGCTCGAGCTGCGCCCCAATGTCATCCAAACTCTATTGGGTGGTATTCACGCCTGCTCTCCTCCTATGACCCTGCCACCCTACCTAGTGAAATACCTCGCAAAATCATACGGTGCATGGCACGTTGGGATGGAGATCTTGGAGACGTCGCTGGACTCCATCAAAGATGATGATCCCGCTGTGAAAGACACGGTTTATGATTCGCTCGCAGAGGTTTATGCTGAACTATCAGAGGAGGATGTGTTCTATGGTCTTTGGCGCCGGCGATGCCTCCACCTCGAGACGAATATGGCGCTCTCATTTGAACAGAATGGCATGTGGGAGTTTGCCTCAAACTGTTATGAAGGGGCGATGACGAAGGCGAAGAATAGCCAAATCGCATTCTCAGAAGTGGAGTATTGCCTTTGGGAAGACCACTGGATGCTCGCAGCAGAAAAACTCCAGCAGTGGGACACATTGCATGATTTAGCGAAGAGCGAAGGAAACCAGGAGCTCCTGCTTGAGAGTGCGTGGCGCACGAAAGATTGGGCCGATCAGAAAGAATCGTTGGAGGAGCAGATTAATCAGCTACCTGATGTCGCAACTCCGCGAAAGCGAGTTTTCGAGGCATTTATCGCTCTTCTGAAAGTGCCTGGTGCGCTGGAAAAGAACACCGAATTCACGAAGATCCTTGAAGATGCAATGCAGCTATCGCTGCGTAAATGGGTTGCTCTTCCATTTCATATGTCGGCTGCTCATGTTCCACTGTTACAACACTTCCAGCAGTTTGTTGAGCTACAAGAGGCCGTCCAGATCTTTGGTTCTCTCTCTACAACCACCGCTCTGAATCTAGAGAAGAAGTCCTCGGACCTCAAGATGGTTCTACAGGCTTGGCGAGAGCGCCTTCCCAACCTGCAAGACGACATCAGCATATGGAGTGACTTGGTTGCTTGGAGGCAGAATGTTTTCAACGCAATCAACAAGGCGTATATCCCTCTTATCTCCAATGCCAATCAGAGCAATAATTCTGCAACAAGCAACTTCAATACCTCGGGCTATCGCGGGTACCATGAAACGGCTTGGATCATCAATCGCTTTGCCCATGTTGCGAGGAAGCATGATCTTCTCGACGTCTGCTTCAGTTCATTGAACAAGATTTATACACTACCAAATATCGAGATATCGGAAGCTTTTCTCAAACTACGAGAGCAAGCGCGCTGCCACTACCAGAAACCAAACGATCTGCAAGCAGGACTAGAAGTCATCAACAACACAAACTTGATGTACTTCTCTAATCCCCAGAAGGCCGAGTTTTTTACTCTGAAGGGCATGTTCCATGCGAGAAGTGGGAGAAATGACGACGCCAATCACTCCTTCGGCCAGGCAGTTCAGATGGACATGTCTCAAGCCAAAGCATGGGCGGAATGGGGACGGTATAACGACCGTATGTTCAAGGAGTTCCCCAGCGAGATGTCACACGCTGCCAATGCTGTCAGCTGCTATCTCCAGGCAGCTGGACAATACAAGAATGGAAAGAGTCGGCCCCTACTGACTCGGGTGCTCTGGTTGTTGAGTGTAGATGATGCGCAATTTACGATCTCTCGAGCGTTCGACACTTATAAGGGCGAGGCAGCGTTTTGGTATTGGATATCACTCATCCCACAGCTTTGTCTTTCTATCAGTCAACGTGAAGTCAAGCAAGCGCGCTATATCCTGTTGAACCTTGCCAAGTTATTTCCCCAGGTATTCGGTTGATCGATTCTAACTGCTTGTGATGAGCTAATCCTGGTTGTAGGCATTATTTTTCCCATTGCGGACGACGAAGGAGGACATGCAATTCATCAAGAAGCAAGCTTTGGTTACGGCAGCAGCTCGGGCTCAAAGTGCAATGACTGCCAACGTAAACAAACGTTCTGACGGCGACCAGGTAATGCAAGACGCCACGGCAGAGGTCCAGGCAGATATAATCAAGAAAGAGAATTCATCGGGCGACGTTCTCGAGTCTCAGCTTTCCCAAGCACAACAAGCCCAGTCTAACACAGAAGTAACTCCTGCTACCGCACAAAACACGGGCGCCACTTCTTCCGCTCAAAGTGCTTCAGGTGCTTCTGACACCCAGCCGACCTATGTTATCCGTCAATCTTGGGAACATGTTGATGAGGTCGTTCAGATTCTTAAAACGGCCTTCCCGCTGCTTATTCTGAGCATGGAGACTATGGTAGATCAGATACTTCAGAGGTTCAAAGCTACCCCTGAAGAAGAGATTTATCGGTTGATCTGCATGCTCTTGCTGGACGCTGTGCAGGTAAGTGATTCATGCGCTACCCACAGACAAACGTGAAACACGCACTTCCAGAACTATGTTATGCGGACGAATACAACGGAGGACGACGGGCAGCTTCAGCAACACACTGTACAAAATATTTCCAAGATGGCTGCGAACTTGACTGGATCGGCTAGGGTATACTCTTCCTACTTGAACAAGAACAAGGCTGACCTTATTGTAGCGAGAATATGAAGAAGACTTTGTCAAGAGTAAACTCACACATTACGAGTACATCCGAAAGCTTCAGCAATGGAGGGACCGGCAGGAGAAGTATCTTGACTCTCGACCACGCATCCAGTCTCTCGACCTCCTTAGCCACTATCTCACTGAGTTCCAATACGGCAAATTCGACGACATTGAGGTTCCGGGTCAGTACACCGAGGTAAGTTGCGCGCTTGATAGTGTCGACTTGACATTACACTTTGCTATAGGATAAGGATAGCAATCAAAACTTCATTCGTATCCAGCAATTTGGACCCAAGTTCGAGAACTGTCGGTCATATGGTTACTGCTGGCGTAGATTCACGGTGCATGGCAACGACAACTCTCGGACATCGTTCTCAGTTCAGCTTCCTTCTGGCCGACACTGGCGTAGGGAGGAGCGGCTGACGCAGGTGTTCCGCACTTTCAATTGGCGAGGCCGTTCCTAGCTCACATGCTTTACTTACTGACCTTGTCTGTTATAGTGCCTTGATCCGCAGGAAGGAATCTCGCAAGCGAAATTTGATGTTCCATATTCCAGCTGCTATCTCCTGTAGCCCCAGTCTCCGCCTCCTGCAGACAGATTCGTCGTATATCACACTCGGAGACATATACGATCATCACTGCGAGGAAGCTGGTTTATCTCGTGAAGACCCCATACTCGTCTCTGGTGAAAAAGTCAAGAGCGTACTACTAGAATTCAAGCAAAAAAGTGGCAGGGCGGTAAGTACATTCGCAACACGTCGTGGACTCATTCTAATACCTTCGCAACAGCCGAGCAAAGCGGAATACTTCACCCTCCGAAAAGATATCATGGATGAAATTGGCAGCAAACTTGTTCCAGATGATGTTCTGTGCAAAGTAAGTCATTCTGTCTCTTTATGTAGTCAGTACCTCATGTCCTCGCGCCCAGTATATGACAAGTGCCATGGCCACGCCCGCAGACCTTTGGCGCATGCGCAAGCAGTTTGCGCTTCAAGTTGCCACGACGAGCTTCATGACCTTTGTCTTCTGCCTCACCAGCCGTGCGCCCTCACGTTTCCATCTCTCTCGGTCGACAGGGCTCATGACGATGAGTGAAATGTTGCCTGGTATGCTCATCACCTCCGACTATCGAATCGGCTACTAATTGGGAATACAGGTCTAGCAGGTCAGGCGCCTGTATTCGCATCCAATGATGCGGTGCCCTTCCGCTTCACCCCGAATATGCAGAGGTTTTTGGGCCCTGTGTTTACCGAGGGATTATTGACCACAGGTATCATGGTTATTGGAAGATGTCTTACCGAGCCCGATGTGAGGTTTTCTCCTTTATCTTCGGCTTCATCCGCTGACATGGCCAACACAGTTTGGTCTTGAGCAACAACTTTGTCTCTTCGCTCGGGATGAGGTAATGACGTGGATGCACGGAAAAGGACATCCGTGGACATTCGATTTGTCGTTCCGGACAAGCTGTGCGGCGAACATTGAGGGTGTGGTGAAACGTGCTGAGATCATGGCATGTAAAATCGAGCGAGAGACGGTGGGTATAAGTTATGAACCATATGCAAGTTCTTGTCTGATCAAGTTGTCGTTGCACAGGCCCAATCGACCACAAATATGGGTGGTATACCAGTAATACAGACTGTTACCAACTTAATATCGACGGCCACGAATCCAGTGCAATTGATGAGGATGAGCGAGGTGTACCATCCGTGGTTCTAGGTTATCAAATGTTATCTGAATGTTGCTTAACGATCGTTTATAATTTGTCGTTGCTTGACTGCTGTGCTGGACGTTGATTGCTTTGCATACATGCACGTTGTACACTAGACATAACATATTTAGCGCTTGTAGCAATGACTAGTTTTTCTGACATCCGAGCAAAGCGTGCGAGAAGCGTTTCCAGCGTAATTCATGTGGACGTCCACTAACACCGGTTCACGCGCGGACATTGCGCAAGTAACCTTCTGTTTGTCGGAAGGAATTGATGTGATTTTCGCTCTCAAGCATCATCTACCAACAACAGTTCAGGTTCAAAAAGTTTTGTCAAAGAAAAATACTTACCTCTTCCGCCATCAATGCGATATCACTCCCTGGCCTATTATACATCATCGCATTAGCAAACATTAGATACACATCCCGCTGAAAGTCTCTCGAGGTTCTAATAACTCCATCTTTTATCCTTGCTTTGATGGTCTTCAAGTCCATGGGGCGCTTGATGATATCGTGGTAATCGGGCGCTTCAGTCGGTTTTATAGGATTATGGAAGATGTTACCGTTGCGGTGTTGTGAGATTTGAGAGTGTAGGAGGCCTATGACGGTCTGAAAGCGCTTGTGAGGAATGGGTTGAGCTGGGGTTATAGTTTGGGTAGTGGAGCTGGATAGACCGGATTGGATGGGTGTGGAGGGGCGTTGCTCGCTGCTTGTTGTATCGCGTCGGGGACGTGTAGTTACTGTGTGCTCTTTGGTTAGCTGATGTTCAATTCGTTTGAGGGCACAAACCTTGTTCCTCCTCCCCTGGTGTAGGAGGTGAGCTCTCCTCACGTAAACGTTTCTTGTTGGGCTCTTCAGCACCTTCGCCGTCGTCAACTTCCACTTCGTCCACCTTGCGTTTGGCTACGCAATATGGATTACCGACTTGGTTTTGTTAAGCTCAATGTAAACACACCTTGTGAACTCGTTTCGGTATAAATAGACAAGTCCTGCTCCACATCGACTTCCATGGATGTTTCTTGGTCTGCTTCAGTGTGGGAGTGTTCGGTGTCATGTGTGGGGGATGCCGCCTCCTCTTCACCTTCGAGTGTTTCTTCCTCATGGACAGGCGATTCCCCCTCACGAACAGGCGATTCCTCCCCGTGTTCGGGCGATTGTTGGCTTGCGTCTTCCTCAACGGACCCCTCTGGGGCACTAGGTGTCAGTATCGCCTCTATCTCACTTGCCTCGTCGTCTGGAGACGTAGGCTGGTGCTCCCATTCAAACTGCTCTGTTTCCTCTTCATGCGTTAATGCTATGGGTTCGTCGGGTTCGATTGGCTGCTCAATATTTTCATTCCCAGGTTCGTGTTCCTCGGTTTGTGGCGGGCGAGGGGATTCTGTTTCCACAGGGACTGGTTCAGGGGTTTGACCGGGTTCAATGTACTCGGGTTCCTGCGTAGGGGCTGGTTCTTCTTCCTCTTCTTCTGGTTGGGGGGTAGGTTCACATTTTCGCTCATGGATATGATGTGAGACCTCGGGTTCCTGCACAATTGAGTTAGACTGAAGATAGAACGGTCATAGGTACGCACGATGGCTGTTTCACTCTGTGCAGGTGCAGCATCGTTTTCTGCATCGGGTTCAGATTCTGCCCCAGAGAGCTTGGAACGAATCTTGTCGTCCCATTTGCCAGCCCGAATGTCCTGAATTTCTGCAACGATACTTCTGGGTAGGGTTAATACGATGGAAACTATACGTGTAAAGTACTCACTTGAACTTGACTTCCTCTGCTGCAATTAAATCACGCAATTCCAGGAGACGTGCACTATAGAACTTCTGGGCAAGCTTGAGATTCACAAGGGCTATATGCACTTTAAGCAATATTTTGGAGCGGTATTCGATTTGAGCTTACCATGTGGAGCAGACTCGGTGCTACATGGACATTCATGAGGACATATACAACTTGGGTTAGCGCAAGCATCTCACCACTCAAGCTGAGCATCACTCATCAGGCGAGCATATATATCGCGACAAGACTACAACTTGATCTGAGTACGCCATAGATAGTAAAAAGTTGAAACGGGCTGACATTAGCTGAAAAGAAGGTCTTTGGGCGAGAGATGATGGGATGCTTGGAGAGCAACCTTGAGACTTGCTGCCAAGCATTTGCGCCATACTCGTACACTGCTTGTGCGAGCAAAAGACGTTCTACGTTAGTCAATGAACTCATGACTATACTGCCCGAGCCTTGTCCGAACCTCGTCAGTCGTGGCGAGCGTCCGTGAGAAATACTCCCGGACTTAGTCCCGGCAATAACCAAATTTGGATTATGCCAACGGGAAGACGTCAGCCCGATTTAAGACCGTAACTGCTGCGAACTTCACAGCGCCTCTTTCTCTTTACACCATGTTACTCTCCGCGTTCGCCACAACGCTTTGTCTCCTTCCTTTCGCTTCAGCTGGTGTTCACAAACTAAAGCTTACGAAGCTACCACAAGTATCCCCAGGTCATGCACTAGAGACTGCCTACCTAGCGGAGAAGTATGGCGCAGCACCTTACCAACAGCTACCTTTATTAGGTGCTGGCGGTGCTGGCCGTCACATTCGTCCACCAACTGGTGAAGATGACCTCTTTTGGACCCAGGAGGTTATCAATGGTGGACACGACGTCCCCCTCACCAGTATGTGACTGCCATTTCTTCTCTTGCTGTCATGCTCACATTTATACAGACTTCATGAACGCTCAGTATTACACTGAGATCCTCATCGGCACACCCCCTCAGTCATTCAAGGTTATTCTTGACACTGGGTAAGGAAATTTCCTTTTATTTTTATTTTGTCGTGTTCTCAACATGTACTCCCTTTTAGGTCGAGTAACCTCTGGGTCCCCAGCTCCAAGTGCACATCCATTGCGTGCTTCCTTCATGCTAAATACGAGTCTAGTTCTTCCTCCACGCACAAGGCCAATGGATCTGAGTTCTCCATCCAGTACGGCACTGGCTCCATGGAGGGCTACGTCTCCTCAGACGTTCTCGCCATTGGTGACCTCACCATTCGTGGTCAGGACTTCGCAGAGGCCACCAAAGAGCCTGGTCTCACTTTTGCCTTTGGCAAGTATGTACAAGTCCCTTGAAAATACTGGTGACTTGCGGTTGACCCATGAATAAGGTTCGACGGTATTCTCGGCCTTGCCTACGATACCATCTCTGTTAACCACATTGTTCCTCCGTTCTACAACATGATTAACCAAGGTCTCATCGACGAGCCTGTCTTTGCTTTCCGCCTTGGTGAATCAGAAGCAGATGGTGGTGAGGCCACGTTTGGTGGTGTCGATCACGCCGCGTACACTGGTAGCATTGACTATGTCCCTCTCCGCCGCAAGGCATACTGGGAAGTTGAGCTTGAGAAGGTCGCATTTGGAAGCGATGTACTGGATCTTGACATGACAGGCGCTGCTATCGACACCGGCAAGTCCCCTATCTATCTGATTTATTCCAATTTCTCACTAGCTTGCATACAGGCACCTCCCTCATCGCCCTTCCCACTGACATTGCCGAAATGCTCAATACGCAAATTGGCGCTACCAAGTCCTGGAATGGCCAATATCAAGTGGACTGTGCTAAAGTTCCATCCCTTCCAGAAATGTCCTTCTATTTCGGCGGCAAACCCTACCCACTCAAGGGAAGCGACTACGTATTGGAAGTTCAGGGCACGTGCATTTCATCTTTCACCGGTATGGATATCAACCTGCCTGGAGGTTCATTGTGGATTATTGGTACGTGATTCAAATATATTTACCACGAACTTTTTTCTGATAAGTCCATCCAGGTGATGTGTTCCTCCGACGTTACTATACGGTTTACGACCTTGGCCGGGATGCTGTTGGGTTCGCCAAGGCTGTATGAGGGGTTCCTACGCAGTCTCATACTATGACGAAGTTGGTATATATACCACGATGCGACACAACGCATGTCTTCCGCACAGTTCGAAAACTTCAATTATGAGTGCTTGGGTTGTTCACATGCGTCCTTACCTGCTATTGTGATACTCTGCTGTAGAGTTGTAATATGTTAATACGATACATTGCTTGACATGTAAGCAGTGCTGGCGAATATTTGCAAGTACCGACCGTACCAAGTTACGTAAAGTAGGAGTGACATATGCATGACATAACAGGAGTATGCGCACAAAGTACATCTATTATCTCAGTATTTGCCAGTGAAATTTCTTTGAAGATTAGATATGGACGACGCCGACGACATTGACGACTTACACCTACGATATCCTTCCTCGCTTCGCGCACCTTCCACATTGAAATCTGCACCAATGAACCGTATAAAACATATGCGAGTGGCGCGCGCACTCAGCGGGAGGTTAGATAGGGTGAGCGTGCTTGGAGGAGAAGACTGGGGACATACTGGGTACGTCGCTACTTCACTTGACAGGTCTTGTTCATCGTCCAACCCCAATCGCCGGTAACTGGACGGTGAATTGCTTTGAGCCTGGTCTCGGAGGTCATGTTCTTATAATTGCTTCTACATTACGTAGCTGCGTCAACGCGGTTAGCTGGGCGCAGGGTGGGGAGCTATTAATTACCAGTGGAGACGATACCAAGTGCGTGTGCTCAATAAGACCTCAACTCGGATGGCTGACTTGGATATATTCTTTGTAATATCATTGTCATCGTAGAGTTCGAGTCTGGCGGATGGACCCGTCATGCTCTACTGGTGCGAACGCATCAAATGCTGAAACTCAGGAAGAGTATCCATTCGCGTGCCAGAGTGTAATCAGCACAGGTCATACACAGAATGTCTTCAACGCGCAGATGCTTCCGTTTTCTACGAGGATGTGAGTCTCAACTGCGTTCACTTCTGATATGAAGATCACTATCATGATGTTGGTAGTGCAACTGTCTCTGGAGATCGGCAAGTTCGTGTGTTCGACGTGGGCGAGGTGGTGGGGCAGTCGCCTACGGGAAGCGAAATGGAATATACCACGCAGGAATCGTGTATTCGCGTGCTGCGCTGTCACACCGGGCGCACGAAGCGCATAATCACTGAGGACAGCCCCGATCTATTCCTTACCGTAGCTGAGGTAGCGTGCGTTCTAGTTGGGTTCCAAATTTCATTGACTAGATACTCAGGATGGCCAAGTACGTCAACATGATTTGCGTACATCACATTCGTGCACGTCAAGCTCGTGTCCTGCACCGCTGGTGACGCTTCCGCATGAGCTTTCAACACTTTCACTTTCGCCGCTCACACCGTATCAATTTGTCGTGGGCGGTGAATCACCATATGTGCGTGTTGGTCATATAATCTTTTCTTTTCGCCGTCTCTCTTGATGTGCTTGGGAAAAACCATTACCTTTGTGGTAATACTCTCTCGCCTGCAGTTTCCCTTGCTCTGCCTTGTGGGATTCACTTTCTCACAATCGCGATTCTTAGGCGCACTTGTTCGACCGCAGGCATGTGGGGCGTTACTTGCATGCAGAGTGGGGCGTCCCTCCTGATACAAATAGCGCAACTACATGCGTGAGGAGGTTTGGCCGCCGCTCACGCGCAAAGGGAGAACGAAAGGGATATGAACATATTACTGGCGTGCGGATGTCTGATTGGAATGGGCACGAGGCGAGTTCTTCACTTTCGCTGTATGAAGGTCGACTGAACGCGAGGGACAGGTGCTGTTATGTATGTCCATTTGCTTGATCATATGGCACAAGGATTGACGCAGCCGACACTTCATAGCATATCACTTAGCCGGGGTATTTCTCTATTCAACGCAAGACGAGCCTGAAATTTTCGAGGACAAACGAAGTCCACACTCAATCCTCACGCCTAACGCGAAGCGGAGACGACTCAGTACGACAAAATCGCCTTCTTCACACGATGAACCTTTAACTGGTCCGGACGTAGAGATGATTGTCGAGAACCAACTGGAATCATTATTTACAGACAGTGCAATGAACGACATTGGTAACCCATCGCAAGAAGGTGACGAAGATAGCGATGATGAGGATGATGATGAAGATGATGAGGATGATGAAGATGACGATGAGGATAACCGCCTGTTTATCCCCGAAGACGCAGATTCACATCAGGCTGTACCTGTGGTATATCCGCGCACATGGTTTACTGGGCACTGCAATATTGAAACAGTCAAAGACGGTGCGATCTGGTTGATGTAGATGTATTCATCGACGCTGAATGTTATCTCTAGTGAATTTCTTAGGGCCTCATGACGAGTTCGTAACTTCAGGGTCAGATGATGGCAACTTCTTCATCTGGCGGAAGTCGACCGGGGAACTTGTCGACATTCTCGAAGGCGACCAACGTGTAGTCAACGTGATTGAAAGCCACCCGCACTTGCCTCTGGTTGCTGTCAGTGGGATCGATACGACGGTCAAGGTGTGCACCCTGAATACTTTCTATCATATGATATCCATTTTTCGCAGTTATTTGCCCCAGCTCGTGGAGTGCCATTATTCTCGAGATGGAACAATGCTGAAACGATCAAAAAGAATAATGCGGCGCGTGTATCACGGGCGGGTTTGAGTGGCAGTGCGGAGCTGCAATTTGCACGTCTTGTCCTGAACTACCAACACGCGCTACGGGACATTCGAGATGGTGGAGGCGAGCAGTCGGAGACGCAGCTCATGCAGTGCATAAATCAATAAGAGATTTATCTGGTGTATATGTAGTATATATATACAGTACTTACGAGTAATCTTGGTTTCGGAGGTGGTGGGCATATCACACGCATGGGGCCAAAGTCGTGGCCCAAGTTCATAACAAGTTCTGCAACATACAATCTTGAACTAGGAATACGTGGTAGCCTTGCTACATCTCAAGATACTGCCATATCATTTGGCGTCTCTATCAAGTGAAAGTATTCATTTCCTGGCTTTTCGTCGCTCTGGAGTTTCAGATGTCACTTTGAATTGATGTTTGAGTCGTGTATGCTCGGGAGTGGTTCATTAGGCCACTCTTGTTTGACTCACTGCCGCCGTGGCACCACACAAATCGGACGGAGTGCTGGGTGCATACTTCATCACTTTGATCAAGGCTTCCGCAGGACCTTTCAAAACTGAACCTATGGTCAATGGTATAACTGCGAACCTCTGCTGATTTGTTTTTCTCCTTGTTATGTAAGTTCAATTATCTTGCGCCCTGCACCCGAAAGGCTCCTGCTGACCCTTTGCTCTCTGTGCTCAATCACGCTGCCTACCGCTTTGTGGACGTTGATCTTGTCTTTTTGCTTTCAGTATTGCACTGCCGTCTCTGTGTGATTTGAGCGTCCGCCTGCATTCATTTTTGCCGAAGCTGTTCAGTCTATCTTCCACCAACTGCAAGGGGACGTCCTTTTTCGCCCGTACAAAACAACACGTCACGTCTTTGCTTCTACCACCCGTCTCACCCACCTCTCAAGCGCTTCAACGCCGACATTTGAAAACTAACCATGCATGCTTCTCACACCAGAACGAGGCGCAAGCGTGGCAAAATCGACGACGTCGAGGACGACGGACTACCTCTACATGTCTCACGGGTTGAAGAAACCCAGTCTGAAGCTTATTCTCGCTCTCGTCCGCATTCTCATCAACAAACAGACTCCTACGTCCCTTTCCGAAATTCCCTTGCCTATGAGTTGGGAACCTCCTCCATTTACTGAACTACCGGCATCTGACCGTTTTCACTCCCGTCCGTCCGATGTTCATCATCGTAGTGGCAGAGATAGTCACGACCTCCACGATGATGATCCACCGTGGTCCGTGCGTCCTAATAATGACTGGAACCACCAGAGTGGTAGGGAATGGGCAACGAACCAAGGTTCTTCAGAGCAACAAAATTGGGGAGCGTCTACTTCGTATACGGATAGAGGTCGCGGCCACGGCTGGCAACCAGATGACAGACGGGGGAAGGATGATCGGGGGGATAATCACCATCATCCTAATAATGACAACCACAACCACAACCGCCGTCGTAATAATCGAAAGTTTCAGCAGCGAGACAATGGTTGGGACACTCGCAGAGACAGGCAACCTCGAACGCTGGATGTGCAGGAGGAGCCACCCAAGGATGAACGGTCTTGGGAGCCTGGTCCCGGATGGCAAGCACGTGGCGCAGACCAAGGGGGCAAGCACAATCGCAATCGCAATAACGGAAACAAGAATAAAAACAAGAAAAATCAGAATAAAAATCGTATTCGGATGGAGAAGGAAAGAGACAAGGAGCGGGAGAGAGAGCAGCGGCGAAATGACGATGACGATGACCTGAACAAGTGATTTGTGTTTGATGTTGTGTTATTTCTCGCATTCTCATATTGTTTTATTTACAGCTGGCAGAGACGGGAGTTTCATCCGTTGCCTGCCAAACCTGTTCGCACCTCCCCTGTTAAACCGAAAATGGCACCCTCCAGATCACCGTCACCTGCGGGGACACGATCACGCTCGCGCTCTCCTGATTCCTACTACTCTCATATGTCTTCACGAGGTCGTTCGCACTCAAGGTCCTTGTCTCCAAGATCGCAGCAACATAGCTACAGCCCAGTTCGGCGGCGTAGTCGGACGCCCACTAACAGGGGACGAACTGGCAGGGAAGCTCAAAGCTGGAAGTCATATTCCCCTGGATCATCCGATCGCAGTTGGAGCATGCGTAGAGGGCGTCGACACAGCATTTCGTCGGCATCGTCGGCAAGCCGCAGTAGAAGCAGAAGTTCAAGTTGGAGTATGGATGACCGGCCCAAGCCTAAGCACCGTTTGCCGACTGCAACTTCTATCAACGATATATCACTGTCTATATCACAAACCACCATCCAACAACAACGTGGTGGTCCTCTTCCGATTTCAAGGGACTCTGAGTTGCGACCCAATGGAAAGACGAGAACGAATGGAAAGCAGGGCAATGTAAGCATACTCAGTATGACTTCAGATAGGCGCTGATTATTTTGCAGCGACGTCGACATTTCTCGCCGGCTGCTGAGCAGATGCCTCCTCCGGCTAAGGTCCCACGGACGTCTACTAAACATCATTTAGGCAATTCTCCCATCAGCTATCATCCATCATCCACATCTGGCTGGGCTGATCATGACTCTCCTCGAATCCGAAAGACCTCGAAAGCAGGATTTAGGCCCATTGGGGAGCCTAGTTCAGCAGTTAAATTGTTTTTCCCACGCGACGAAGACGATGATGAAGCTGGTCCTGCAGCTCCTCAACATAAATTCCCCGCCTCCCCTAATATTCATTCAGAAGTCCCTGCGAAGCGTACTCGCGATGAAGGCGCAGCCGATAGAGCTGAAGACATGCGTGGAAGTATCCTCTCACAACCCTTGCCGTCCCAACAAGTCCCTGGTCCACGCGAGCCCATTACAAAGACACCTCCAGCTCCCCAGCCTATGCAGGTTCTCCCTTCAGTTGTTCGTGACTCTCTGAAAGCTTCCATTGTCCCGAAGCCAGTAGGCAGTGGTGATGTTTCCGTCAGTCCTGTCCAGCAGTCACATGCAATGGAACCAGACGCGGAAGGCACACCACGACCGTCCTCTCCATCGGGGACGACCTGCAAGGACCTTTATGCCATTGTCTCCCAGGTTGGCGAAGGCACATTTGGCAAGGTTTACAAGGCTCGCAATGTCGTCACTAATGTCCACGTGGCACTCAAGCGAATTCGCATGGAAGCAGAAAAGGATGGCTTTCCGGTTACTGCCATGCGGGAAATCAAACTGCTGCAGTCCTTACGACATCAGAACGTCGTCCGCCTTTACGAGATGATGGTATCAAATGGTAACTATTTGTGATCTATTGCCCCTCAGTGTACTGATTCCGTTTTCAAGGATCTGTGTACATGGTGTTCGAGTACATGGACCATGACCTTACAGGAGTTTTATCTCAGACGCAGTTTTCGTTTTCGGAGGCCAATCTGAAGTCACTGTGCAGCCAAATGCTCGCTGGGCTGGCATATCTGCACCGCAAAGGCGTCATCCACCGTGATATCAAAGGCTCCAACATCCTTATCAATAACCGAGGGGAGCTGAAACTTGCTGACTTTGGCCTGGCACGCTTTTACCAGAAACGCCGGCGAAGTGATTATACCAACCGTGTCATCACTCTATGGTATCGACCGCCAGAGTTACTCTTCGGTGCTACGGTATATGGGCCGGAAGTTGATATGTGGAGTGCAGGGTAAGCTTTGCTCGTGCTCTCTTGCATCGCCATTTACTGATGGTGTTGTCCAGCTGCATCATGCTAGAGCTTTTCACCAAAAAACCAGTGTTCCAGGGCAATGATGAAATCCATCAGTTAGACGTGATCTACCGTATTCTTGGAACTCCTTCTACCGAGCGATGGCAAGGGCTCACCGTACTACCATGGTATGAGCTGGTAAAGCCGAAAGATGTGATCCATGGTCATTTCCGTGACTTATTCTCTCGGTGCGACCATATACAGATACAATCATGTGACATTCGATGAGCTCACTTTGATTTCAGATGGTTATCGCCCGCAGCCCTCGACCTAGCTGAGCGGCTTCTTGCTTATGATCCGACACAGAGAGTTACTGCTCTTGAGGCTCTTGAAGCTCCCTATTTCAAGGAAGAGCAACCTCCACCTGAGTTACCTGTTGAGTGCGTTGATTCATTTCTTGTGCCTTTTAAGTTGTTTAAGTCTTGTTTATTTCTGCACAGTCTGTCCACTTTGGAAGGTGAATGGCATGAGCTGGAGACCAAACGGGAGCGAGCCAAGAAGCGTCGCAAACTGGAAAACGGCCTCGTATAATATTGTCTCATCGGTATTGTTGATTATAATGTACTGGACATTGTATGCATGGCACCAACTACACATCGTAGTTTACAAGAATTGCAACCCATTTTCATGCTGCAACCGCCGGTTGTTGGACGAAACCCTTCTCAGCCAGGTGTTGCACAATAGTCTCCACCTGCCAATCAAATCAGCTCGAGGATTATTTGCACCAGGGAACTCCCAACACGTACATTTGCTGCTGTCATGCGAATTTGCAAGTCCCATCGCTTGGTGAACGGAGCACCAGTGTCCTCGTTAGTCTGCTCTACGTCACCAAGACCACCTGCTTTGCCTTGAGCGTCATCTTCCTCTCTTGCTGCATCGAACCAGATGAGCTTATCGACTTGATCAATCGACCCTTTCAAACGTCCTTGCTCTATCATTTTTCGTGCCATCGTCTCTGCGGCTCCAGGTGCTAGATCTAGGAGAGCACCGAGACCTTTAAAAGTGATGTTATTATAGATTTTCGAGCTGGCCAATAGGTTATGTTCCATAACCGCTCGATCAAGAACAGTTGACGGCCCCCTGCGAGTACTTGTCGACGGTTCGGTAGAGTCATCATCATCAATAGTCGAGGCAAGCTGATCGTTGGAAGAAATAGCAATCTTTGCTAGTTGATGAGGCCGAAGGCGCTCCTCGAATGTTCTGATTTCAGCTGGGCGGAGGATGTGGTCGAGGAACATTTTAGACAGGATGTTGTATGAGGGTAGGTTAGCTGAACGCTCGTCTCTATACAATGAAGCAAGCACGCGCGACCTGTTTGGGCCAGCTGGGGCTAAGACAGCACAAGTCACTGCAGCCGACCTAGTATTGTCAGTAGGATACAAATATCGTTAGATGCGACCTACAACATCTCCCTTCTTTCTTCTTCGTCAATCTCGGCAAGCCAGCTCAGCTCGTGATAGCGCAATGCAGCCTCGAGAAACTTGCGTGCATAGTCACTGATTCTGGCTTGGCAGAGCTTGAACTGAAGTTGTGTCTCTCGGTCCGATGTCGAATTGGAAAGAGAAGCGGCGCGATTGTAGTAAGTCTCCGCTTGGACGGAATCCTCGTCCTCTAAGAGCAGCCTGACTATCCGAATATTTACGCGAAATTTTTCCTCGTCTGGTAGTGACCTGCCACAGGCTCATAGATGAGGGGGGCACATAGGGACTATACTCAGATGAGCGAGGCTCACCGAGAAGAGATTCCCATAAGGACACGGGCGGCTTCGCTCCATTCTTCTTCCATTTCTAGCAAATCTGCGAGTTGAAAGCGTAGAGAATTGACCTGCAAAACATGTTATCGGGCCGCATCTTCAGGGGCAATCATGCAAACGCACCTGCTCTTCATAACTCACGATTCGTGGCTGAAGTGTGTTGAGAGTTTCCTTTACGATACATTTCCGCAGGTTGTGATCTGATATGCTTCCGGTACTAAGACTTCTGGCCAATTCAGAGAGGACTTGTCTTCCGACGACAATGCCTACGTCCTGGACAACTGTTTCCACTAATGTATGGAGATCGGCAGCTATGAGAGACTGATCTTGACGAGCAAGAATCTCTGACACCAGAGATAGATAGGCTGGTGCTTTGTCTTTCTGGTTGAGAGCTGCGAATTGTGCTAGTCTAGAGTCCATTATAGTTCCGTGTCAAAGTAATGTCAGAGGCGTGTTATCGCTCAAAATTATAAAAGGAAATAATATCCAGGCGAGAAGTGGCGGTGTCAGGTGCAGTCTCGCATCACGACTGGCTATTGATCATCATGTGGAACAGCCATGTCGGATTCAGCATGGAATTCCCTGGTAGGACTTGCTTCGGGAATTTTCACTCGGCTCATGCTTTACCAGGTTTACCGTGGACAAGACTGGAGGGAAACCGCTGGAAGAAATGGTATGAATTCATCCAAAAGACTGTAATCTTGGAGCTACTCCGTGAACATACTCTCACTGTCCAAACGAATTGGCATAGTCCATATAGAATAATTGACACGGTCGCCCTGACAATTTACACAGTCTTTCGTGTGATCCAATCGTAGGCTGTTCACTCAGGTCCCGCTGAAAACTCACTACCCTGTTCCTCCCATAGCCTCGTGCTATGTGCTGCATACTTATATCCGTTTTATCTGTCGTGTTTGCTCACGTCTCTCCCGCAGGCTCCTTCGTTGCTAGCCAGCGACTTGAAATCCAGCCTCTTAGACTGACCTCGGTCTTTAGAGAGCCAACCGTCAACTGTAATTGATAGCTTGTGCTCAGTGTTGCTCACTTTTATAGACATCAGAACAATGTCTCGCTTTTCTAGCCACCCATACCATACCATGCCAGCTATTCATTCCTCTCAGAATGATCATCCACTTCCTCTCAGCCCACCGGAGACCGATCAAGAATCCTTACCTGTTCAACTGCCACAGGCTTCTCTCATCGCCGGTGCAGAGCTGGAACAGCTCGGGCATTCTGCTTTAGGTTTTCCTGAGCGTTCTAAATTTCAATCTCGCAGGACGTCTACTCTGCCATACCAGAACTCGGGAGTGCGAGACAATCGCGACCGAACCCCTTCACGGGCCTCAAAATACTTGATCGTTGTTCTTCCTCCACCAGACTTTCCCGTGGATCATGGTCAATTAGGCAATCTGGGACCTCGTCACCGATTATCTCAAGGAATCCTCATGCCCCTGTTGCCTACGGTTCGTGTCTGACTGACGACCAATGAGCGTTCTAACTTTGGGATCAGATGTACGGACAGCTCGCTGCAATCGCACGGGAATTTAATTTCCCGAGCACCGTGGGCTTGTGTCTCTACCACCATATCACTGAAAATGGTATCACCATGACGCCGCGCATCTCTGACGATGCCTGGCAGTACCTATGGGCACATCTCATCGAGTCACGTAATGGCCTCCAACATCTTCCCATCGGTGGTCGCGTAGAATTCGACATCGACCTCAACAAAGCCCGCTGGTTCGATGCCTGGATTGCTGGTACACTGCGTGACGACACTATTGTTCCTGTTGCGCAGTCCCATACATCTATCCTGCACTTACATGGTGATAGTAAGACTGCAATTGCAGAGGAGCACATTGAGAATGAAGACCGCTGGGAAAACCAGACCATTCAATCGAACTCAAGGCCTACAACTATCCGTCACGCGCCCAAGAAACTCTCCCTCGTCGATCGGCTAGATTCCACCGCGCTCCAGGATTCATATAAAGCGTCGCAGGCAAATTCTCCACCTCTAAACCATCTTGCGCATAAACTGTCTCCCATCCCACAATCTGCGGCACCGCAGACATTGAAAGCCGAGCTTCATCGGCGTGTCAATTCATGGCGAGTGAGCGCATCCTTAGATCCTGCATCAATGACGGAGTCATATCAGCCCGTCCCTGATGCTACATTTGGTACTGCAGCGATCGAGGCTACGGATAAGTACCCCTTAGAGGTAGAGGGAGGAGTTCAAGAGCCTCTGAACTTAGCAGACTTTGCTTGGTCTGCAACATCTGCCGGGCCACTTAGTCCGCCTCTAGATTCTCCATCGTCTTCTTTCCGTCTTCCCTCTGTTCATCTTGACCGTCGCATGCAGGAATCTGTGGTATTGACACCGATCACAGCAACTAGCTGGGGACCTCTTGATGATGATTGGCTTTCAGACGTGTCAAGCATCAATCGTTTACCCTCGCCTGACATTGGTAGACGCATGCTTGAGAGCGCACCCCTGACCCCCGCCACGGCCACTAGCTGGGGGCCTGCTGACGATTGGCGATCAAATGTATCCAGCATCGATCGCTTGCCATCCCCAGACATTGCTCACCGAATGCTGGAAGATGTTTTAGCGAGCCCAGCCTCTGGAGTTCCCTGGCACAAGGCCTGGTCAATCTTCGAGGTTAGAAACGTATCACCTGTAGGGCCACCATACAGCCCATGGGCGGGCATGTCTGCTTCTTCGTCTTCATGGTTCGATGTTACAAAAGTGGCAACACTTCCATCCACTACTTCCTATAATCCTTGGGCTGGAATGCCATGGGTTCAAGCTTGGCCTTGGTCCGAACTTGAGAGTGCAGAGTCTGGGGTTTTTTATAGCCCATGGACCATGGTGCCTGCCATCCGTGCATGGCCTTGGTTCGATATTCACGCTTCCCGGGACAAGGGAGACCTGGGCTTGCAGCGCAGCACCTCTTCAAATCCCTGGGCTGGCATGCCCTGGTTTAACGTTGGGCCGTGGCATGATGTCGACGGTGAACAACCTAGAAATCCCATGGTCATTTCGCTCAGTCAACAAGGAGGTTTGAAAACTGAATATCCTAGTCTGGACATCTGTGAGTCGTCATTGCTCGTGACTAATGAGTGGTTGCTAACTTTCTATAGACCCAGCTTCCTATCCTTATTTCAATATTTATCCCGCGTGGGCAGAGGTGAACAGCGGCCTTAGCAGCGCTAGAGGTTATCCTACACTTGATATTTGTGAGTTATCGTATTGACTGGATTTTCGGGTGATGCTTAGCTCGAACATTAGATCCTACAGTTTACCCTCATTTTAATTTATATCCTTCGATTGCGTGCTCAGTTATTCCTTCCCCTGAAAAGACGGTGACCTCTCAGCCACAAAAATCTATCATTGTAGAACTTGCTCCAACTTACCTTCTGTTTGATCTCTGTGAGTAGTCATTGAATTCGCGTTTTTTTTCTGGGCTGATTGTTTTTAGACCCACCTCTTTACCCGTATAATCTCAATCTGATTTATCCGGCACCGGCTGTCAGATTATCTTCATCTGTGGTGCTCCCGAGTAGCTATCCGTGGTTAATTACTTGTGAGTTGTATTATGCCCTTTCTTGAACGCTGTCTGACGTGCGCTAGATCCTCCTGTTTATCCTCATGTGATCCCGTATCCACAAGCCAGTGATGAGGTGACTGGACCCCAGAAAGCAGAAGACGAGGTTGCGCAGCCTGTTCAAGTGAAACTTCGGCCGCAATATCCTGTTCTTGATATCTGTATGTGGAGCAAGCGCGTGTTAATTACTTCCTTAGATCTCATTTTCTCCCAGATCCTGCAGGCTATCCATGGAGCCTCAAAACAGTATATCCCTCAACCGAAGTCGAAAATGCCTTTGAAATTACTGTCCGCCTGTCATCGCGCTATCCATGGCTAGATATCTGTGAGTCACCCGGTAATTTTTATTTTTCACGACGACTCACCCTAACTGGCGCGTTAGATTCTTCGGTTTACCCTTTTGTTGAACCGTATCAGACGTTAAACAAGACGTGTGAAAGCCCTATGAGCAGATCTGAGACTCACTACAAGTCAGAATTTGTGAAGGTTACCTTAGCTAGGCACTACCCGTTATTCCATTTATGTAAGACCTCATCCTCACCCTCGAGTCTGGTGTACTGAACCTTTTATTCTAGATCCCGCAGCCTATCCACATTTTGACCTGTATCCTACCTTGCCAAATTTCAGGTCCAGAAGTTCGCAGCAAGAGTCTGCCAAGGTGATGCAGGAGACTCAGTTCGATGCATAGTAACTCAGAATTTTTGCTCCTTTCAGAAGATTGTCGATAGCGTATTAGTTGACCTTGCGGGCGCTTACCCATACATTTGCCCTTGTGAGTTAGCTCAAGTGGAAGCGAGCAATTGCCCGATACTTAATTTGCTTCATGTAGATCTTTCCGCTTATCCTCACTTCGACCTGTATCCACATGTTCAGATACATGCGTCCCGTGATGGTGAGGATCTGTTGACCAGCAAGTTCTTCGCTTCGAGTAGCACGTACCCATTCTTGGTCATTTGTGAGTTCTACATTATGTTCTTTTCCTTGCTTTCTCACAGACTACGCAGATCCTGCTGTGTATCCGCACTTCGATCTGTATCCCGCTCGTACGGTAGAATTAGCGAGTCGAGATGAAGATATTGCCAACGGCAATTTATCCGTTTCAGCGTACCCTTTCCTTGTCGTTTGTGAGTTCTACATTCAGTTTTTCATAGCCATCTTCTCATAGCGCATGTAGATCCTCATGTGTACCCTCACTTCAATTTGTATCCCGCCCGTGCGGCAGAACCAGCGAGTCCGAGTCATGAGGAGAACATAACCAACGAGCTTTTCGTTTCGAGTAGCACTTACCCCTTCTTGGTCATTTGTGAGTTCTACACCATATCCTTCTGCTCGCCTTTTCACAAAATACGTAGATCCTTCTGTATACCCACATTTCGACCTGTATCCTACCCGCGCAGCAGAACCAGAGAGTCAGGAGGGAAACATAACCAAAAACGAGCTTTTCATTTCGAGTAGCGCTTACCCCTTCTTGGTCATTTGTGAGTTTTACATCATGTCCTCCTGCTCGCCTTTTCACAAAATATATAGATCCTTCTGTATATCCACACTTCGACCTGTATCCTACCCGCGCGGCAGAACCAGAGAGTCAGGAGGGAAACATGACCAAAAACGAGCTTTTCGTTTCGAGTAGCACTTACCCCTTCTTGGTCATTTGTGAGTTCTACATCATGTCCTCCTGCTCGCCTTTTCACAAAGTACATAGATCCTTCTGTATATCCACACTTCGATCTGTATTCTGCCCGCGCAGCAGGACCAGCTAGTCGGGAGGAGGCTCACAATGAGCTTTTCGTTATGAGTAGCACGTATCCCTGTTTGGTCATTTGTGAGTTCTGCATGATGTCCTCTTGCTCACTTTCTCACAAAGTACGTAGATCCTTCTGTATATCCACACTTCTATTTGTACCCGGCCCGTGCGGCAGAATTGGCAAGTCGGGAGGAGGATACAAGTAACAATAAGCTTTTCGTTTCGAGTGGCACTTACCCCTGTTTGGTCATTTGTGAGTTCTACATGATGTCCTCTTGCCCACTTTCTCACAAAGTACGTAGATCCTTCTATGTATCCACACTTCGATCTGTATCCGGCCCGCGCGGGAAGACCAGCGAGTCGGGAGGAGGATATAACTAACAATGAGCTTTTCGTTTCGAATAGCACGTATCCCTGTTTGGTCATTTGTGAGTTCTACATGATGTCCTCTTGCCTGCTTTCTCACAAAGTACGTAGATCCTTCTGTGTATCCACACTTTGATTTGTACCCGGCCCGTGCGGCAGAATTGGCAAGTCGGGAGGAGGATATAACTAACAACAAGCTTTTCGTTTCGAGGAGCACTTATCCCTTCTTGGTCATTTGTGAGTTCTGCATGATGTCCTCTTGCCCGCTTTCTCACAAAGTACGTAGATCCTTCTATGTATCCACACTTCGATTTGTATCCGGCCCGTGCGGCAGAATTGGCAAGTCGAAAGGAAGATATGATCAACAGCAAGTTCTCCGTTTCAGCATACCCCTTCCTTGTCATTTGTGAGTCCTGCATTATATTTCTCTTGCTCGCTTTCTGACAGAGTACATAGATTCTGCTGTGTATCCGCACTTCGATCTGTATCCCGCCCGTGCGGTAGAATTAGTGAGTCGGGATGAGGACATCACCACCAACAAGTTCTTCGTTTCAAATAGCACGTACCCCTTCCTGGTCATTTGTGAGTTCTATATTACGCTTTTCTTATGTTCCTTCTCACAGAACACGTAGATCCTCATGTGTATCCTTACTTCAATCTGTATCCTACTCGCGCGGCAGAACTAGTGACCCGGGAAGAATCAAATATTATCAATGTAACTGTTGGTTCATATCCCTATCTCGTGATCTGTACGTCCATCGAGTATACCGTAAATGCTACCCATACTAAATCAGCAGCAGATCCGTCTGTGTATCCCTACTTCGATCTATATCCCGGTACCCCCTCGAGAGTCGATGCTCCTGCTGTAAGTGGAGAATCAGTTGTCAGAATGGACCACGGGTACCCAGTCTTGAACATCTGTGAGTACGAGACGCGTGGCCACGCCCTTTCTGGCTTACCTAAATTATGATTTTAGACCCTGCTGTCTACCCGCACTTGGATATCTACCCTGCACTTGGAAACGTAGTACAGCCATCTCAGAAGGCGAGCAATATTCCAGTGCGCCCATTATCTGTGAAAAGGCGCAGGAAGACACATGCCGAACTACACGCCGAGATAGCACAGTCATCTGGGTTCATTGTGGCTAGGGGAAAGTCTGTGAAAACACACCGTCAGCTACATGGAGAGGTTTTTATTAACGGAGTCACTTGGACACCTAGTGGATATGTGCAAGACCTAGCACTTCCCGATAAACCACGCGAAGAGTTTAATCGTGGGTCGCGGCGTCGAATGCCCTCTGTACATGAAGTAATACCTCGACTGCCGCATTCCCGCTCGGTACCCCTCTTTAACCAGCAATCGTCAACTAGTCCATCGCTGCGAGAGAGACAACAGCACGTGTTGCATAACGTTCCACCTATCCCCCCTCTCCGCATCAGCAGTCCAGGGGTGCCAGCTGTCTCGGAGTCGCCAATTCCTGTATCACCACCTGCATCACCACCTTCACGATTGTCGCAAGCCGTGAGATCCTTTAGATCATCGATAATGCAGGGGCGCAATTTCACATCGACCTCAGAAAACCACAACGAGAGGGCGAAATCTCCCACGAGGTCTATGTTCCCTTCCTTTGATCGACGCAGCTCTATGATTCCACCACTACCTCCCCATGATCCGTCAGACCTCTTGGGACGATTGCCTGTCCAGCAGGGCCTTGTTTTGCAGAGGGCTAGGGCATATGAACAATCGACTTGTATGTCATTTTCTTTCTACGTTTGCTTGGAATCAAATCTGACCATTGGATTGAAAGCTTCATCCAATAATCATTCTCACGGCGTGAAAGACACACAATCATCATTGCCCTCGCTGCTTCCCATTCCTGATTTTCCCCATGCGATAGATCTGAGTTTGAAGACTGACAGTTCAAGTCTCTTAAAGAACGCCACTCCTTAGACCTCGTCTCGAGTTGTACATTGTATTGTATTGCTACAAATTAATCGATTCATACAATAATGCCTGACCGTTGGTCAGCATAAATGTGAGCATGTTAGATCGACGGGGGTTGAAACTGTCAGTCGCGATCATGATACGGGGGAGGTTCATCTACTACTACAGGGTCAGGTGATGACAAAACATGACCGCTACCTGGCATTTCTGCAGTGGAGGGCGGTGGGGAAGAGGATGTAGTTCCTTCGCCATCTACACTCGGAGAGTGAAGGGCTCGAACTTCACGATTGTGGCGATCACGTTGGTCGCGGAGCTCCTTGGTTTTGCGATCGTCCATGAAAGCTAGTAGAGCCTAAGATTTGATGAGGTCTGGATAACAGAACACCTAATTGTTCCGGTGACGTACATTTCGCTTGGCAGCCTCAATAGCAGCTTTCACTTCAGCCGCATTTTTTTGAGACCTGGCTAGTTTTTGCTCAGCCAGTTCTATAGTCTCTTGTAATATTTGAGCGCCAATGTGCAATTCTTCGCTTTTGCGCTCATTCCAGACGTAGAGGGGCTGGAAATCCTTGACCTACAAGAAATTCGAGATAAAGTGAATGGTAGCATAGTACTGACAGGGAAGACATACCTCCGGATGAAACCCCATCTGATGATTCTCTCGAGCTCAGATAGGTACGTACATAAGTTGCTTCAGTCAGACGCACCTCGATTGCATACTCCAGCGCACCCTTAGTTTCAATCAGGCACCGTCTGATCGTATTATTTGTGGATTTGAACTGCCGGAATTTGGGGTTTTCGGGCTCTCGTATAAGATTCTCAGAGATCTTTGATAATATCTTGCGAGAAGCCCATCATCGATAGGCTGTTCATGTACGATAATTAATGCATCCACTGCATACCTTCAAGGAGGCCATCGTCGCTTCATGGGAATTAGGCCGAGAGATTCCAGGGTCTATCAGACGTCGAAACTTCTGGCGCTGCTCATGCTGTCGAAGGAGTTCAGGACCAGAAACTGCGTGTGCTGTCGTGGCACTGCGACGTTGAGCTGCTGCAGCGAGAAACTCGGGATCAGGAGGTGAGTTCAAAGTCTCTGAAGACATTGATGTGGTCGGGAGCTAAATGCAACTTGAATTTTCCCGTGACCTCTTCATATTTACTACTCACACACTGATATTCGGCTCAGAACCAGCGCAAGACTGATGTTGTTTATGAATTATTGTAAAGAAAACATTGAAGCATCGACGCAGTGGTCGTCTCGTCGTGCACACAGATCCTAAAACATCTCACGATGTTCGACCCACGCCATCTCTCTGAAACATACTGCCGTTCTTGCGTAGATGCAAGGCTGAGCGTCTCCGAATCTGCTGCTGTGTATCTATCATCATGGTGCGTACTAGGGATATTGGCGACCGCACTTGGGAGTTGAATAGGGGTGGATACGGCAGTTGGTCAAGTTTCGGCAAGCGCTGGAAGGTCAACCGACTTGCCTGAAGGCTGAGAGAACACGCTACTAGTACCGTATACTAAGTTACAAACAAATTGAGAGTGTTGAGATGCATGTCCAGTTCAGACGTGGCCCGTGCGGCGGTGACTAGCGGAGTTATACGAGCGGAACTCGCCGAAATATTACATGTTCGCCGCTTCAGACGTATGAGAACTTTAAGCAAAAATACATGATGAAAGTCATGGCTACAGTTGGTATACAATCATTATACAAGTAACATTAGGAACACTATTTCAGTCTTGATCCACTCCTTCTCCATCTGAAACCGCATCTTCATTGAATTCAGCATTCAAGTGAAGAGCCGACTGTTGTTGGAGGTAATCCAATTCATCTTCCGATGAGCTTTCACTACTCCAGGGAACTTCTGATGCATCTACATTCAGACCCCTCCCGCTGGATATGGCAGGTCTATGAGAACCGGAGAACGGTATCGATAACGATCCTGGCAGTCTTCTGAAGAATGTGGATGAATTAGAAGTGTGTTGCCTTGGTTCATCAGCAGACGGTTCTGGCGTGGCTGTACGCGGGCTTGCTGACGAGTTTCCGACTCCATTATCACCGTTGCGATCGAGAAGCTCAGATGCCCACTTGCGGCGCAAAACAGGAGAACGTAAAGGGTCAGTGGTATTGTTGTAGTTGTTCTCATACGGTGTGCTCGTCTCAGATTCTCGTGGAGCACCAGCTGTAGGGCGACCACGGCGGAAGAACCAAGCCGTGCCATTGTCTTTGAATGCACGTTCAGTGTCCGAGTCCAATGGTATTGGCGACTCGGGCCTTGCACGAAGCCGAGAGCCAGTAACGGGCTCAGGGACGGCTTGACCGTTGATAACAATATTCCGGGTGTCACCGGCATTTGTACGAGACCGAATTCGGTCCATTGCTATGCGGACTGCCTGTCGACCCATGAGAATCTCATTTTCTATGCGAAACCGATTTTCGATCATATGTAACTGAAGTCAACAATGAGTAAATGAGCGACACGGAGTGCCAATGGCTCCTACCTTAGGCCAAGTTGCAATTTGCCCGACATTCATCATTCGTTCGAGCTCGGCTGAGTCTGGGTCGCTCAAGATATGCAACCAATCCTATCATTCAATCAGCCATCAGCATTGCATTCTCTATTAGAGGCTACGCACCAAAATTCGCGTTCTCGGCCAGATTCTGGAGCCGAGCATAAGTGTCATCAGATGGTCAGATGATTGGTACATACGTGACAGCCCCATCAAAACGTTGCAGAAAGACACTAGACCAGTCCTGTCCGAGCAACTGCGGAAGAAGCTCGAGATCACGAATCACCTGGTCGGAATGATTTACTTCGAGTCTACCGGCACGATCAAACAAGCATTTACCTTGAAATTCTTTGTGAGCTCTAGTTTGAGCCACTGTTCCGCTGCAGACAGAAGAAAGTTGCCTCGCCACCCTGTAAATGTATGAAGCACTGAATAGAAAAAGTAAGATATTCATCTCATACCCCTTCCTTTCCTGTGAGCTACCGGTTTTCCTGCCGACCCACGAGGCGCAAAGAAGAATAAATGGACATGGGGGTTCACTTGCGACACAACCGGATGAGTAACTAGAATTATATTCAGCCGATCATGCTCGTCCAACAACAACTATCTCACCATTGAAGTACATTTTGAGAGCTTGAAGAGGAATATCGACCCTAGTTGATGTCAGGCATATGAAAAGATTTTGGCAGATCATGCCTGCTTACCTTAAAGACCCGTCCTTAAACTTGCTACCCCAATTCCATGGCACTATGTGGCCATCATGAAGCTTTTGCATGAGTACAACCGGATTGAGAATCCCGGGTACAGCTGCTGAAGCGAGTAGAGCCGTCCAAATTATCGTGTCCGGCGCAGACATGTAATTCAAGAGCTTCGTGGGACTGAAATGAATGTCAGTTATTTTAGATTAAAGGCTCAGATAACGAGCTTACGCGTGCCGATCAGCAGGGACAACAGAAATGTTGAGGATTCGCCCGGTCCGTAGATAGGCTTCTCGGAAGGTCATAGAACCTCTTGTGAAGAATGTGCACTGTAAAAACGGATCAAAAAAGAAACATCGGTTGAGTATGCCAGCCGACTTTACGAGCCCACATAACACTGTCAAATCTGGCGCCGGTGACCCAGAAACGCTTTATCCATACATTAAAGGAGTCTTCACACGCTGTCAGTTTTTCGGCGAGTTCTGGAACAAGAAGAGCCTTCAGTTCCGCATCTGTGCGTGTGCATACCAGAGCGGCAACAAGACCACCAGCAGATGTTCCAGCAATAACCCGGGGAAGCAGCCCTGCATCTAGGAAAGCTTTCACTATACCAAAATGGTCTAGAAAAGTGAGTCAAATGTCATTCGTTTGAAGTAGTTTCCGACTTACAATATCCGAAAGACGCGCCACCTGAGAGACACAATGCAGATGTTCCCAGATTAGTACTAGCATTTTTGAAGAATTTCCTCTTCTCTTCAATAGAAAGTTCCGATGACTCTCGAACGAATTGTAATGCGGTTTGCAGCTCTGTATAATATGCTATTGAAGGGGAATTAGACCGAATGAGATATGTTTTAGTAGAAACTGACATTCGATTAAGTCCTTGGTGCCCAGGAAAGTCTGGTGTCTCAAAGATGTGGATTAGGCTGCTATTTTAGAGGATGAAATGCTTACTTCACTATAAAGCCTAGAAGAATCATGAATGGGAGTAGGATTGAGCAATATAAGGAACTCACCTGGAAGACTCGACTCCTACAAAATTGGATCGGATACATGTCTCCAATACACCGAGAACGCCACGAACATCCTGCTTCTCTCTCAAAATCTTCAACGACCGATTCACCTGACAAGTGTCGCTTGAGCTACTGTGTTTGAGGTGTTTGATGAACGAGGCTTTCTTTACCTTGCGCAGAAGTTTCCAATCATAAAATGCATCCTCATCAACCTTCTTCCAGTCATCGAACTTAAGGTATCTGTCGAGCATCGTTGCCGTTTCCTTCCATTCCTAGAGTCAAAAGTGAGAGACTGGTGCATATATCAAGATTCGAGACATAACCCACCTCATACGTGCGTGCCCCACGAAGACGCTTTCGTAGAAGACCCTTCTGTCCTCGCCCTGGAATTTTGGATGAGCCAAAGTGTTGGTACAGTCAAGGTCAAACTTGCATGCCAGTAGCCATTCTTTGGTATTCACGAGTTGTCTAATAAGGATATAGAATCCGAATTGGAGCGCAATGAGGATGAATATCAGAAACTGGTATAGAATAAATATCGAGTGGGGACGAAATAGGGATATTGATGCTCACAAGGAGTGGCCATCGGAAGACAAGAAACGACCACTCTGACCTCCTACCCATAGACTTGTCCCCCTTTCGTTTCCTGGCCACAACGAGTTCGTTCAGCAGTATCAATTAATCGAGAAATGAAGATCCGTACCTCTTTACCTTCAAGTTGATTGGAGCGAAATCGGAAAGAGCGGAGACCTTCCTCACTCGAGGGCTCTGTGGTACAGGGGAGCTAGGAACTGTGTGAGGTGAAGCTGCTGATAGGGAATCATGACCATCTAGGTCATCCGACTGTAGGGCGTTGATGAAAGCCTGTATGTGTCTGCAAAGGATTTCCGTCAAACTAGAACTGACTGAAAGGCAAACAACCAACGATTCGTTAACGTAGCCTGAATTGAGTAAATCCGCTGGCGCTTCCATCGGTCTTCTATAGCCAGCGGTGGTTAGCGGTGTGAAAGAGTCAGCGAACGCGGTCCAGGTCGTATACAGCGTCCACACGGTGCGGTGCTATCGTTTGACACGTGATCTGTAATTTCAAGTTATCGATGGCTGCACCGAGTCATACAAGTACTTTCTCAGTTTCCTCAGTGTATTCTACCAATTGTATATTGCCCGAAATTACCACATCACCTACTTTACATGTTGTTTTGTCCGGCATGGGCTAACATGCTTGTGATATCCCCGGAAACAGGCTACAATAAATGAGCGTGCACATGATAGCCTACGAGTTTCCGATCTCGAAGCAGGTGTGTATCTCGGATTTTTACCATCGCCGTATGGTCCTTTAATGACAATGTATAGATCACTTCCCGCTTGCGAACGGAGCGCAAGGCGGTAGATGATGTTCTTGGAGGGGAGGAGACTTCCGGTCAGCCCCAAATTCTTTCTTTCAGGATGTAGGAATTTGACGCACGACTGTCAGTGGGTGTGGTTACCCACGCGCGTATTTCTATCAGCTGTAGATGAGCCTATGACGACGCGTGCGTTCAGTTTACCTCCTCTTGGATTGGACTTACGAGTGGGGATTGATTTGCTTCCTTACAGACAAGTTCATTTATTCATAACCTAGCCCGGCTGAGCACGGTATGTACCGGATGTGCCTACCAGTGGCGTGAAAATTAATAGTTTCTCAAAACGCATGACACCCTGGATTCTACAAGATTCTAGTTTCAGTTGCAATTTAAGGTTGACACGTTCGTCTGACACCTGATCGATATTATATGTTCCAGCCGTTGATCGTCCCTGGAGTAGGAAAATATTATCATCATTGTACTTTTCCTGCTGCTAGCGCTGTCGCCGTGGTCATCATTCCGTGATCGCAGTTCAGTTGGGCCCGCAGGCCGCAGCACATAACGGAAAGCCCTCATTGGATCGGTATTATTCGGCTATCTTTCCTATCTTGGAACGGATATGGAAACCACCTCTGATGATGGGAGATAAGATCGATAACATGATCTCCCGGGTATCGAACACCGGAATTCGTCCCATCACCAAGGTACTATCCATCATGAATGAGTCTATTGTTCGTCCCCCAGACATCTCATGTGATCCTGATCATCTTTGACACTGCCCATCGTATACTCCGCTTTTGGGTTGACAGAATCATCTAAAGGTATATAAACCCATCTTGCACTCATCCCTTCTGCATTCACTCACTTAACTACCAAAGTCTACCATGGGTTTCCTCGACGTCTTCTCTTCTTCCCAGGACTCATACAACGAGGTTGGTTTCTCTATAACTCCACAGACAACGCATCTTCAATCACACATTTACAGTTCCAAAGCTCGGATGCACCTCACGAGGCTAGCTTGAGCCACGAACTCCTTGGTGGTGCCGTCGCCTTCGAAGTAAGCCTCACCCCTTACCCTACCCTAATCAGTTCTCATGTTCGAAATTAGGCTGCAAAGGCTTACGAAGATCATTGTGCCAGGAATGGCAAGCCTCAAAGCCATGCTTTGGCTAAGGAACTCATGTAGGTCGTCGTGCCAGACACTTGTGTTTTGTATTGCTCATGTAGTCTCCAGGGCTGGTTTCGCCGGGGCTGCCGTTGACCGCTTGGTCGAGACGAAGGGTGTAAGTATTTAGTCATCGGAATTAGACTGTGACGCTCTAACAAAACTCTCGAACAGGCTGATGCCTGGTCTAGGCACCAGAGGGACAGAGCACATGCTCACGGTATGTATTTTATCTGTCACGTCGTGATCTATTTTGATGACAAGTTACTTGAAGCTCAGGAGCAGATCACCGAGACGTTCACCGAAGATGTTTACCAGAGCAACTACTAGTGCTGGCGAATGAGTTATACCACGTGTCAAATAACTTGTACTTGATACAACAACCTGTATAGCCATGCAAGGCATCTCAATTTCATGGACGAACCATTTCATATACACAATGCGACTTGGAATATATATAGCTTGCACAAAGACCACCTGATCCATACTCTAAATGGCGAACCAAGCTATGCAGCCACGTCACAAACTTATTGCGCTTTTGTGAGCCACTTCTTCAAGCTCGTTTTACCCATCTTGTCGACTGCCCTTTTCACATCATCCCAGGTCAAAGCACTTCGATATCGAGCGAACCCTGGAGCGATGCTCGTAGACGAGGCGGCTACGCATATAAATATCTTTTCACCAATCAGGTGTTCGAATCCCTAGATTATGTTAGACTTCAGCAACCAAAAATAGGTCGATAAGAATTCTCGACTCACCCTCATCAGAACTTCCCGGGTACACCGGGACATGCCAATGCTTCCTCCTGCAACCTGGATCGGGGCTGCTGCAGAAGCACGGTATTGTTCACGGAAAGCGTCGTAAAGCATTTCGAAGGTTACAGCATCATGACCAGCTGTATGAGCATGCGCGGCAGCTATAAGAAGACAGATCGAGGGGTATGGCAATGCTGGTGGAGGGCTCAACTGAAACCTTCATGCCAGAGAAAATAATTTGACATACTGCTTAAGTGAGGGAATGGATCGCGTATACGTTGTGCATGTACTGCTGATGAGAGCTGCGCACAAGTGGGAAACGGAGACAAAGGAGCTAGTGCAGCGACAACACCAACCTATTCAATGGTCAGAAAAGCCCTCGAGCTAGCCACCCAGGCGTCGCACCAAAATTCGTTGAAGGGTCCTAATGTCGTGTGTAATAGCAACAGTTTCTTGAATTTGTTCGAGCACTTTCCGATCTGCGACGAAATTGTCGATAGCCAGGGTCCATAACGGCCCCCACTCTTCCTCGGGGGTTTCAATTCGGGCCCGTAACACTCGTTCTACAAGCTTCATCCAAAATGAGAGCTCTATCGGAGCAGCAGTACGCAACATTCGGCCAGAGAACCTGCTCTTGACCCTTTTCTCCAAAAGGTTGATTGTGTCTATCCTCGTAGTTACCCCAATGACTGCAATGCCATTGTGTCCTTGACCGACTCTACAGCTTTGCGCGGTATCCAGTAAGCAGTAAAGAAGTGCCTGGCGAGCATGTAACGCGAAGAGGTCGAAGGCGTCTAAGATGACTACCACTGGCCGCGAAAGCGTGGTCAAGGCTGATACCAACGCGGGGAGATGAGATGGGGGCGGAATGTCAATGCTTGGGCCAGCGTCCAGGAAAGGATTGCCGTCATCATCTCGGTCATCGTCATTATTAAGTTCACCCAAATAAGTTTTGCCTGTTTGGAGAGAGAGCTGTCGCGCGATCTCTCGAAGTGCGAGGTGATCGTTTAGCTCGGTATGACCCGAAAGTCTGATAACGATCGGAGTCTGGTCTAGGGACGCGATAGCTCGATCTACAATCTTGAAACAACAGTTTTGATATGGTTAGACGACAGGAAGATGTGGGCAGCTTACAGCAGTCTTTCCGCTGCCGCGTGGTCCTAAGACAAAACAGCTATTTCCCTCCCCACGATTGACAGTTCCCGCAAGCAAATCCTTCAGTTGTTGAGAAGCTACCGTGTTGGTAGGGCCAAGACTAACGTCCTCATCGGATTCCATTCTACAATTTTGTATTTCCAATAGCATCGCACGCTTCTGTAGACGGTGGCATATGCTGAGATGAGAGGGGAGAATATGAGGAAGGCGGGAAGGTGATTGGGGTCTAGAAGCTGTAAATTGATCTTTCTTGGCAGACTTAGACCATAGCCTATCCCCACTCGCTGTATTCGGAAGTTGTTTGGTCCGATTAGGTGAGGTCTTTGGAAGCAGATCGTTCTGAAAGGTGGAAGGACGGCTTGGCGATGCGGCAACTAATTCTGATACATGATACGCAACACCTGTGGTTGCGGTAGGTGCCTTAGCAGGGAAATGTCGCGTACTAGGCACCGGTGAGGCCATAAAACCAAGCTTTGGGAATGATCTAGGTGTCGTAATTTCAACAGAATGCAAAAGGACGCGTCCAACGTGAGATCTAGGTGGAGGCGTTGTGCAATTGACTGGCAGTTTGGGGGGAGACAGATTCAGCTCATCCGCTTCATCAGAGTTGTCAGGTTCTTCTTGTCTGTGGGAACTCGTTGTCGGATTAGATTTCTGTTTTCCATTCTTTTTTGAAGGTGACGAAGTGTTGGTCCTCTTGAGGGGTGACTGTCTAGCAGCCGGCTGCGTCATGCGGCGGGTTTTTTGGGGGAGTGCACATGGCACTGTCCCATCCAGCTGTGTATCAGCTTGGAAGCCTTTGCTACTCTGCTGAATAACTTTCTTCGGAGAGTTGCTGGACTCGGACCGAGCTGATGGTGCAACCAGTCCAGAATTGTTCCGTCGAGCGCTGGCTCTAGTGGCGCGCTTTGGAGGAGAGGCCTCATTGATAGCGTCTGGTTCCTCGCGTGTTTTGCGTTTAGGCATTTGTGATGATAGATGATTGAGATCAGGACTTCAAATCACCATATTAAAGTCTAACGCGTCGCCGCCACTCTTGTCACGTGTTTCACAAGTGGATGGTCCACAGTTTCAAGTTGTGACTTTACCATTGACCAACTCTTTTGTTTCATGGGATTCACAGGGTAAGTTACTTTAGCACAAGTTTATCATGGTTATTCTGATGCATGATTCAGGCTTGCTCGATGGATCAATGCACCAAGCACTGGTCTCGAACTCATCCGTGAAAATATAATGCGAAACCACCATGTTTGTCGCAATGAAAACTCAACCCTCATCCAGGTTCGTTGATGCCGCTCGTAGGGCCAGGTTCGAGGAAGGTGGTTTTTGAGCGTGAAATCTTACCGCTCGACACTTGGTTCAATACCCGGCCTTCAAGTCCACTCAGAGCGCTCCATGTGCACGCTAACGATGAATGAGAATGTCTTCGTCCTTCTGGAGGATCCTGCAGCACCTACTCGTGCAGACATTGTATCAAGTGTTCAGAACTCCCAGACAACCGATGTACAAGTTTTCCCAGTCCCACCACACTACCGAACTACTTTCCTCACCCTCCGTCCGCCCGGCGCATTAGAACAAGTTCTGCATCAATTGAAAGCACGCTGGATCCCCGTCAGACAAACAGCTCCTGGTGCGCAAAGAAGTCAAGGCGGTCAGCAACTCTCTGTAGAAGGTTTTGTGTTTGCTATTGGTAATGACTGGCTCGTCCGGGTTGGTCATGTAGTCCTTGCTGGTGGTGCCATCAAAGGTATGCTTCTTGAGGTGAGCGATCGACCTTGGTCGGTGGCAAATTAATTTAATCTATAATGCAGGCCGAGTATCTTCCTTTACCGGTTCTCCACTCTCAAACTGCAGACGGAACTTCAGAGCTTTTATCTAACCTTCTCACATCCGTCCTTCCAAATATTCGAGAGGCTAAAACAGTGGCGGTCACCATCAGCGATTCTCAGTGGGAAGAAGTACTTTGGGATCGTGAGGAAGAGGAACGACAGTTGTCGCAGGAGAAAGCAGAGTCGGAGGGAGATCCAGATAATATATATGTCTTTGGCGACGAAGGATTGACCTCTGAGAAGAAGGGGGATTGGATAGGAGTCGATAGAGACCGTAGATCTGCTTTCTTAATTATCGGTGCATTAAAATCAGAGGGCATTTTGTAGTTTGCACCTACGACTTCTGAAGAGTAGTTTACGCTACTGGTGATAGACGTTTTTGGCTTGAGTTCTTCACTGCGATCCACCACTCACGAAACGGCCTACTGATGAAGGTTTGAACTATCATTGGCACCTTCTTCCATTCGACCATGTCATGGCGGTTTCGAAATGGATGGCATGCAAGCGATTGCGCCCGACACTTGCTAAGGCACTCCTCCAGCCAAGTCCAGCCTCAGTCAACTGCGCTCCATTTCTATCAAAATCGCCAGCTAGAGCTCTATGCTTCAAAAGAAGCAAACAGGCTGAGCCTCCGACAGCTCGTGAAACTGCTTTTGTAAAACCATTTCTTAACATACTCATGGTATGATAGGTGTTTTTTGGGCGGTCTATGGACGAGGAGAAACTCATAAAGGTGAGTGCTTGAGGGGGCAAAGTAATGTTAACGCCAGTGTTCAATCTCATTTGTTACAGAGCGCTAATTATGTCCGCACCGAGCTGCCTGTCCGCATCGCACACAGGCTAATGGACTTGCAAGCCCTTCCGTACGTAGTGGTAACTCAGGAGGGCGTAGCTCGAGTCTATGAGGTTTGTTCCAATAACACTTCTTCATAGCATGTTCCTGACCTCGGGCAAATTTACACAGTTGTATTGGTCCGCATTTGAGAAGTCAATAACCTGATTCTGCAGAACGCACTTTTTCTGACTTGTTTACAAGGTTTCGGCGCTACCCTCAGGTCACCACTTTGGAAGAGAATGAGGCCTTTTGTGTATTTCTTGAGGGTATCCTGGACGAGCAGTAATACACTATTCTTGGTCCATCACGCTTCTGATTCTAACTACTTATATGCCAGTGCACCCGTCATCCCAAGTCTGTCACTGGGACTCTCCCTTTCATCTCCGCACCTTCCACCAGATTCACTAGATGCATTCATGAGACGCATGCTCGTATCCCGAATCTCAAGGCGTGTTCTTGCCGAGCATCACCTTGCGCTCTCGAGGTCCCTCGGAACTAACAGCCTCGGTCTCCCCGAAGACCCACATGTCGGCATCATTTATACTGCGCTCAACCTCAAGCATTCCATTGACAAGTGTGCCGCGCTCTTGCATAGCAGGCCGCACGATATCAAAGATGAAACTGGGGAGAGCATGCCGAATCGTAGATGGCCGGAAGTGATTGTTGACGGTCATGTTGACATCAAGTTTTCCTACATACGTGAACACCTGGAGTAAATCTTTTCACTCACAGCGTGTTTAATCTCACACATGCCTCACTCTCTAGGTACATTATATTTGAACTTCTCAAAAACGTGCATATTTCTGGATCACATCTAAAGAATGGTCGACTGACGGCGTTCTAGGCAATGACCGCTACTGGACTGAATCACCGAAATTCATCTAGCCTTCCTCCTATACGAGCCACCATCGTCGTGGGCGAGAATGACGTTGGGGTGAGAATATCTGATCAAGGTTGGCACTTCTTTTTTCTCCTGCAAGTGAATTTGAAGACAATTTTTATAGGCGGTGGACTCTCATCCGCTCGGATCAAGTCACCCTCCGACCTCTTCTCTTTCTCTCACATTCGCAATGCAACACGCATGGATGACACGCGGCTGGGCGCACTACGCTCAGCCAGCTCGAGAGGCGTCAAAGCCACTGTTGCGGAGCAAATACGCCCATTACGGACCCAAGAGTTGAATGTGAATTCAAACAATAAAGATCCTGAACGCGAGGCTGGCATTGCGCCACATCCCAGAATCGGGCTGGGCTTACCTATGAGCAACATATTTACAACGTGTGTAGTTGTATGCTGGTGCCTTCATACCGGTTAACTGAACTACCTTGATAGGTATTTTGGAGGCACCCTGGAGCTGGTTTCCCTGGATGGTTGGGGTGAGTCAGATTTGCCCGTCGCATTCGGGCCTCATGTTGACTTTACGAAGGGACGGATGTATATTTACGCTTGCCCAAGCTGGTAAGTTCTTTCTTAAGTCAGCGGTTATCAACATGTGACGCTGGGCCAAGGGCACGAACCTTGAGGGTATTGAGCTATAGACGTGATAGTCTGAGTATGTATCTTCCTGTAGCATCAAATAACGCAGCTGGTGTCTACCTGTTATTAGTATTTGCTGCATGCGCTTTTACAGTAGAACATGGGCTGTCTTGGCAACCAGTACTCATTAAATAATTTAAACAATATTTCGGCTTAATATTTATGTAATATGCGAGCTCTTCGGATAGGCACCTTGAATACTGCCTCCGGGAATTCGCACAAGTATGACATATGTCAAGGCTAGCAAGTTGCTGTGCATACATACATCGCTGGCCACACTGGCGTTTATCTCTTCTCTTAACGAAACACTCATCTTCGACTTTGTTCGATGTTCTTGACGTCCCTCTTTAGACCACCAAACCTGGTTCATAATGAGCAGTGACTCCTGCCACCCACCCCCGCCTTCATACGAGCTCTCCCAGCAGGGCCATGACCAGAAGATCATCGAAAAGAATCTCCAAGAGTTGCTCTTATCCAAGATTCCCATTCATGACATTGAGGAAGAGCGCGATGAAAACGATAGTAAAGATTCCAAAGATTCAGAAGAGCAGAAACAGAAACAGCCCTCGGGATTGTTCCAGACCCCAGTACAACCGCTTCACATACAGAAGCGTACGCCTCGAGGAGCTCGCCCCCTTCCTCCAAGCCCAGCAGACGCTCAATATTCTCGCAGCAAACCAGCTGCCATCCACCCAATTGGTCCTCTCAAAGAGGAATTAGAGCACCAAGAGTATCATGAGGTTTTCTCGCCCCCTCCACCCTTCACAGCTGTTGGTCCCTCTCTCGAGGGGCCTCCGTACGAATACTCGATGTATCATGCCAGTGGCTCTGCACCACAACCCACACCCGACCGTACTTCCTTCAATCCACCTTCTGTTCGTTATGGACAGCACCGTCCCTCTTCATCGTATTCTTCCGCTGAGCCACGCGCAGAGACTTTCCATCGGCGCATTTCTCATGGCTCTTGTCTTGAACCCAACTCGAAGCATTCAACGCTTCCAGGAAAAAGTTCTGATACCCGGCTGAATTTTAATCCATCAATTGCCTATGCAACCTCATCTAACGCCATGTATGATCTTTGGGAGCATGCATCTGACTCGACAGCAGTTAATGCTGCTTCCCTCTACTCGTATGTGATACAGTTACCATTTTGAACTTGATCATCTGATTGACGGCGTATACAGCTCAGCGGTGTCATCCCATTTACATCCAGGGTCAACTGTCAATCCAGGTCCGTCCCACATGTGAGTTGTCAACCTTCGGTCAAGTCCGAAACCTACCTTATGCATGTGATGTGAAAGTGGGACCAGGAATAGATTTTCGACGCCTCCTCGACCTTCTGCATCTTACGAATCGCTCACGCCTGCAAGCAGCTTGCGATCTCCTGCTTCACAATTCCATTCACCTTACGTGCCTGCTTATTCGGCTTCCCAACAGTCACTTCCGCGGTATGCTCAATTCAGGTCAAACCACGGAGGTCATGTTCGATGGACCTCAGAAGTTGATTTTAAAGACAAATATCCGTGATATCCCATATACATCCACTCAACTGTACTACAAAGTCTCGGACGTCCCACACTCTCATTACGCCATTATGATATCTTAGTATATGTACATACCTCCTCAGATGTTAGGTCAAACAGTACAGGGTCCTTTCTTATTGCTGCTATGCTAGCTCCTGCATATGAAATCACAACTTAAAAGTTACCATCACAACCTAGAATATTTTCTTGTCACGTTTAGCTAACCAGCCGATCAACACGACTTCAGCCAATTAGAGATAGGCGACACGGTAGGCCCTCACTGTCATGCAACGCTCGAGCAGTCAGTCGACGACTTCAAGTTCATCAGGCTCAAGTAAACCGGCCGACTATGTTACTTTTGAACGTAGTGCTGCTGGTTTCTCGGACGATGCTGTCCACCGTGCAAAAGCCGCGCAGCTCAAGCTAGAGCATTTCTACAAGGTTGCTGTAGAGGCGGCTATCGAGCGGAACACCAGGTACTGTTAGAATTCCTGGTCGACTTAGAAGGAGACTCTGATGGGTTCGCAGGCGCGTTGAGCTTGAAAGGAAGCTGCAGGCCGATATCATGACGTCCGAGGACAGAAAACATCGCCAACTACAACAACTAGGAAAGAAGGAGTCTACTTATCTTCGACTTCGGCGGACGCGGTTAGGTTTGGATGACTTCAGAACAGTCAAGGTGATCGGGAAGGGTGCTTTCGGTGAGGTGGGTGGTATTGTCGACTCGGTCGGCATGCACTTTACGCTGTCATTGCGTGCAGGTCAGGCTGGTCCAAAAGACTGATACTGGTAAAATTTATGCTATGAAGACATTGAAGAAGGAGGAGATGCTGAAAAAGGACCAAGTACATGTTTCTTCATTGTGACAGATGCAGGCGGCTAAAACTTTCTTTGTAGTTGGCCCACGTCCGTGCTGAGCGCGATGTTCTGGCCGAGTCCAATTCCCATTGGGTGGTTCAACTGTTTTATTCCTTCCAGGACCCACAGACTCTGTATCTTATCATGGAGTTTCTCCCTGGTGGGGACCTCATGACCATGCTCATTAAATATGATACATTCTCGGAGGACGTTACTCGGTTCTACATAGCAGAATGTGTACTTGCCATCGATACTGTCCATAAGCTTGGCTTCATCCACAGGTCAGCATGGGCTTTCTTCGCTTTGCTAGTCTTACACGTTCTCGCAGGGATATCAAGCCAGACAACATCCTAATTGACAAGGATGGCCATATAAAACTGTCCGATTTCGGACTGTCGACTGGGTTTCACAAGCAGCATGATTCAAGTTATTACCAGCGGCTTTTGGACTCTTCCAACGGCGTGCAATCGCCGGCCGCCGCCGCTCGTAACAGTGTCATGGTCAATGCCATACACTTGACTATGTCAAGCAAAGATCAAATCGCTACGTGGAAAGCCAACCGCCGGAAACTGGTAAGGGCAGTGCTATGCTATGTTCACAGCAAACACTGACTTGACGTAACAAGGCATATTCGACTGTTGGAACCCCTGATTACATTGCCCCTGAAATCTTTCAACAGAAGGGTTATGGCAATGAGTGTGACTGGTGGTCGTTAGGTGCGATTATGTTCGAATGCCTCGTCGGATACCCTCCATTCTGCTCTGAGTCTACGCACGAAACCTATCAAAAGATCATGCAATGGCAATATCACCTAGTGGTCCCGGATGATGTCCATCTAAGTCGAGAGGCTGAAGACTTGATCCGGCGGTATTATGTTCAAAATATAATGGCTGAATGGTCGTGCTGACATCTTCGGCAGACTCATCACGTCTCAAGATCGGCGATTGAATATCGAACAGATCAAGAATCACCCGTTCTTCTATGGTGTGGAGTGGGACACGATACGCTTGATTGATGCACCTTTTGTGCCACATCTTCGCTCAATCACGGATACGTCGTACTTCCCCACGGACGAGATTGACCAGGCACCGGCTGAAGGCCCTGTAGCGGACCCTGCCGATGCTCAAAAAGACCTTGCGTTCCTTGGGTATGATGTCTATTCAACCCTGTTTTGTTGTCAGTTGCTCACAGTTCGACAGATATACTTTCAAGCGATTCACGATTTCATCGCACGCTTAGACCATTCGCTAACGGTCGTGTAATATATATACAAGGCTTGGTACACATGTACGACTAGACGGAGGACGGGCCGTAATTTCGATATGATACGGTGCGCATGTACCACCATGTAAGGCTACTACATATTGAATTCAGAAGGCGACGTTTTGGGTATGTCCTGGCTCGTATACTCCGGACATTCATGAAGTATATCAACCACCTATCCAGACTCTACAAATACCCTGTTAGCTAGGAACTTGAGTTCCAGATTATATGACAGGAGGCATGTCGGTGATGACTCAACATGCCGCCCATCAGATCAATCTGGAGTCCATCGAAAGTCTCATGTCATCGATGACAGGATCTCAGGGACTTACGAGTATGTGTAGGTCAAGCGGCTCAAGCATATCTATAGATCCTGGTGTATGATATCGTCTTACTGCAGGCAATACTAATCTTTCACAATTTTAGTTAACCATAATTCACAGACCCCGGGGTTATAGCATCTTCAAAAAACATCTTTTTAGCGATCTACGATTTGTCCGAGGTAAGTGGGATTTAGTTGCGTGTGCTGTCCAACCAGCGAGCTTGATATCACAGTGACCGCATTTCAGGTGAGACTCCCGCGCCCCGAGTGTCATCATGTGGTCAGGATCCGTCAATTGTTCCGACCTTCGCCATGATGGATCGCATGAGATTGTGGTACTCTAGCGCAGGGTCGGTTGATCTCATCTTGATGAGAAATTCACACATGCCGCTACCACTAGTAGCTGTACACTGAGCTATACACTCGATCCTAACCCCTTGGTCGGACTCAAGGTCATGCAACTCCCAGAAAAAAAAATGAAGCGATGGGGCGTACCGAGTGAATCGTGGTTCCACATCGAGCGTGAACACTTTTGTTTACTTGTAGCATCAGTTATCGTTAGAACGGACTCTGATAGTGTTAGGCTTTGTGTAGGGTAGTAGATCTAGCTACTCACTTGGATTGACTGTTGACGTTGAGGTCGATGACTCGATATGATACAGTAGTAGTACTAGTCTCGTGACTTTCAATGACATACGAAGTTTTTGGCAGTTCGATTTGGCAGCAGTATGTCCGAATCATGATTACAACTTCAAATCCGCAACTGTAGTCATCGAACGGATTTACTGCCATTGGGTCAAAGATCGCTAGTGTGCTTCCGAGAAAGTCTTGCTCAAGCATGTCACAATCTGCTGCATTTGCTGGCTTGTGGTCATCGCTTCCAACACCATTAACACCATGGGTGTGAGTCCAATATCCAAGCATTCATGTAGTGAGACCAAAGTTTTCTAGTCTAGATGTTATACAATCGATGGGGCATACCCAAATGACGCCTGTTCAAGCTTCCACAATACCGCTGTTCATGCAGCATAAAGACGTAGTGGTCGAGGCTGTGACGGGTTCTGGCAAGACGCTAGCGTTTGTCATTCCTATCCTCGAACGTCTTATCAGAAGGGATGCTAGATTGAGAAGAAACGAGGTTGGTGCACTGGTCATCAGTCCTACGAGGTGAGCTTGTCAGGAACTTCTATGTTACTCAACGTCTAATCCTAGTCCTCCTTCGAAAGAGAACTTGCAACTCAGATTCATTCCGTATTTTCTCTCTTCCTGAATGCCCAACCAGAAAGTAGTGCATTGAAGGAGTCTGAAAATGGAGAAGGATCGCCGCCACCCCCAACAGACACTGAATACTCAGGGACTGGATTTCCTCCACCCCTTCTGCTTGTTTCATCAGATACATCTTCCCCAGCTCAGGATATACAGCGGTTTCTCTCTACTGGTGCTGATATCATCATCGGGACACCTGGACGTATGGAAGAATTTCTTATAGGAAAAGGGAAAATTGTTGTTAGCGTCAAGGAGCTGGAAGTGTTGGTGCTGGATGAAGCAGACCGGTAAGCCCCTGCTGGTTACAGGAGTAAGAGCTTATTTTCTGAAGACGTTCAAAGTTTGCTGGACCTAGGTTTTCAAGCTGCTCTGACTCGCATTATTACTCATATCCCGAAACAAAGGAGAACTGGTCTTTTCAGTGCGACGATGACAGATGCTGATGCTCTATCTGAATTGGTTCGCGTTGGCTTACGAAATCCTGCTCGCATCGTTGTCAAAGTTCAATCAAAGAGAACAAAGGGAACGAAGTCGGGGAACTTACAAGAAACTCAAGTTATCGAGGAAAGGCGTATACCTGCAGGGTAAGGTGTATGTGATACGTAACATTTCTTACCCAATTCTCTCTCCTCAGACTTCAAAACTTCTACATTAGCTGTCTCCCGTCCGAAAAGTTGGTTCAACTGACACGTATAATCAAGCAAGAGTCCTCATCTCATCACGCACCACACTTCATTGTGTATTTCGCGACTTGTGCATGCGTTGATTACTTTTATCGCGTGAGCGTTCTCGCATCGACCTTTTTCTCATGAGTTCTAAATGGGATTTAGATTTTATCAACGCTTTTACCATCAAATGTCCAATTGCATTCTCTCCATGGACACCTCCCTCCCGCAGCCCGCACTCGTGCTCTCTCGGCCTTTTCTTCAACTTTGTCGTCGTCGTCTTCTCCTTCAGTTCTTCTTGCTACGGACGTCGCTGCCCGAGGACTTGACATTCCTCATGTTGATGTTGTCATTCAGTTCGATCCTCCATCTGACTCAAAAGCCTTTTCTCATCGATGCGGCCGGACAGCTAGAGCTGGAAGGAGTGGGAAGGCATACGCACTTTTGGTAGGAAGAGAAATTGAGTATATTGGTCTGTTTTCATACGCATTTACATTGCGTCTTCGATCTGACGGCCGCGTCAATAGATTTTTTATCCGTTCGAAAAATTCCAATCAGGCAGCATCCATACATAGTAGCAGATGGAAGCAAACCGCTGGACACGGATTGCCCCTCGACAGAGGATGGTAATGTTAGTACCTTCATGTCCCAAATCAGGCAAACCGTCATGACAGATCGCGCTTTTCATGATAAGGTAGCTGCATTTTCTCAGCCTGATATACGTGGCCATCCTCACATTTTAACAGGCTATCAAGGCGTTTGTCTCTTTCGTTCGTGCATATTCGAAGCATGAGGCCTCCTATATCTTCCGAATCAAAGACCTAGACTTAATAGGCGTTGCAAAAAGCTTCGGTCTGCTGCGTCTGCCACGAATGCCCGAACTGAAAGATCGTGATAAATCACAATGGGAAGACGCAGAGCTCGATGTATGTTCAATGGTTCTCATATATCGCACATGCTGATCGCTCTGACGAATGAAGTGGGGTTCATACTCTTATGCGGACAAGGTACAGGAAGCCAAGCGAGTTGAAGAAGAGTCGAAGAAAGCTATAGTAAAGCACGACTCAGAGGCTCGAGCTGCCAAACGCAAGCGTAATGCTGCGTGGAGTCAGCAAGCTGATGATAAGCAAGACAAAGACAAGCGCCGGACACAAAAGGCTAGGAAAAGGCAATGGCTTAAAAGCCAAAATATTGTCAGCGGCGAGTCAAAAAATGCCCTCCAAACAAGCAGAGCCAGGCCAGAAGAGAGCGGCGGAGAGGATGATTGGGACGAACTGGCGCGAGAAGAGCGATTAGCCAAAAAAGTGCGGAAGGGAGCTGTCTCGCAGAAAGAATTCGATCAGGAGTTCGGTGACTTGTGAAGAGTATGACGATATCTCGTGCCCTCGGGTGATTCTGAATATGTAGTATTTCAAGGTAAACGCGATCAATACCAGTAATCACGGCCAGGGACACACGAGTTCCTTTAAAGTTCAAGTTGGCTACCACTAGCAGCTATGCTAGAAAGGATGAGACGTGGTCAACACAAACATCTGCACAAACTGAGCAAATTGGGTAGTAAATACCAGGTCCACCACAGTAGATGGGTCTTGTAGATGATAAAATCTGTCAAAAACATAGTAGTTGCATAGTAGAATATCAATCTCCGCAGAATTTCTATAAATACAATGGCCTGCTGGTCCAAATCGACTTATCATGTACGTAGGTTCGGTCGCATCTACAAGGAAACAGTGAGTAACAAGTATGAAGTCAACTTTGAAGAAGCTGACCACTTCCACAAATAACGGCAACAGCTGTGGAATGTAAACCAGATCAGGAGGCTTGAGCATATTAGTGAATCCCTTCGATCTGCGCGGTGAGTGATGCGGTGCGCGGTGAAGGTTTTCCGCGGAACGTGCAGTTAGGGCGGGTGGAGGTGGGGGTAACGGTTTGTCCGCACGATGAAGCGATGGCGGTAATGGTGGGACCGGAGGGACATCTTTCCATTTCGACTGATGGGAGAAATTGGCAGATTTCGTACTCCGTAATGAGATGGATCGCTGGCGGATAGAAGGGGGAGGTTCTCGTGTAGATGAAGGCGTCAGCGGGCGTTGCGGGGACGACATATGCGGAGATGGTCTAGCTGTTTGAACTCGGGACCGAGTTGGAGTTGGCCCTTCCTCCTCGCTCTCCTCGCTCTCGGCATCTTCGTAGCTCCCCGAACTGTCCGTTTCGTACTCACTAGAAGACTCGTCGCTTTCGTCATCCGTTTCCTCCGCGGCAAGATCAAGAGCATCACTTTGTACCAGCTCCCCGAAATTGATTTCCCCTACCACGCTGTGCACCAGTGCTTGCGTGGCTTCATCTTCGGCATCCGCATCGTCATGTCCCTGAGCCCGCGTGAACCGCCTGCGCACTTTTTCTTCGTGTGCGATCTTCAGCTTGTAGTGATACCGAGCTACGTCATCTATTTCGTTCATCATGTTCGCACGCTCTTGCCCGCCGTGAGGTAGTAGCCATTCAAGCGACACCGGTGATCCTAGACCTTCCCGGACGACAGTAAGAAATTTCTCAATCCACTGCATCAGGCTTTCAAACAAGCCTTTCCCGTTTGCATGTACCTTGTGCACGAAAGAGTAAAATGCTTGCTCGTGCCGGCTGACGAGATCAATGAAGGCTTGCACGGTGGTCTGGGGATCCTCTTCGCTCACTAATCGCTCGATAGTTAGGCCTTCTTCGTTAAAATCGGCGCGTAGAGCTTACTTTCTTCCGTAGCCTCGACGACCCTAATTAAATCGGTGATGAAATTCTGCAGATCTGATAGAGAATTTCCAATATTGGCAGCCCGGTATACTTGGGCTAATGGCGCATAGAAAATGGAGATGATATCCTTGAGTAACTCAGCGGTAACACCCTGGAGGTGCGTCAGCAGAGTTACTGAGAGTCTGTCAAATAGACTGACCTCGAATATCAGTGCAATTAACTGTTCCCGGTCTCTCAATCGGGAGTAAAGCTGCACAAGTATCTTTAGATCCTCAAATAGCCATGCCTCTTCGTTGGTTGGCCCATCATCATCGTCTGAGTCCGTAAGGTTTTCCCGCTCCCTCAGATATGCCGTATGTGCGAGATGTGCCCGGTGCACTCTGCGTATTTGGTCACGATTCAATCTGGGTTCTTCTCCAGAGCGCAGAACAACGACGAGTACGGGAATTTTCCCCTTCTTTGCATCCGTCCGATACGTATCCTGGATCTCGCGCGGGGCATTGACAAATAGGCGGAGCTTCTCACACATGACAGGGTCATCAACTTTGGCTTTTATAGCTTCGATATCTTCTTCAATAGCTGTGACCTCTTCCGTAAGAGAGCTAGAGAACATTCTGGGAACGCGTTAACAGGTTGATTGACCGGTGAAATTTTGAATTACCGCTGTAGGAGACTTCTTCCACCGAACGGAGTTGCCAGAAAGATGTCCACCACACCTAGTCTTCGTCAATACATCAGTCCTGAGAGGGTGTATGCACCTTACTGCGTATCATGGCAACTGGACTGCTTATCTTGAGTGCTGTCTTTAGCAAAAAGTAAGGCATTAAGCCATGTAAACGTTTCATGCTTGCGAATGTTTCTGACGCAGTATCAGACGCGACAAACATTTGGAAGATCGTCGAGGCTAGCCTATCAAAACGATCAGTTACCTGGTCATGGAAAGGAACGTATACGTACGTTATTCTGCCCCATTCTGTCACGGCCCGATAATTAGGAGGTAATTGGTTTATGTCGGGAGTCACTTTAATTATGGCGAAAATATGACTTAGTCCATCTATGAATATGTGAGATCGGTGATGGACAACTCCTAAAGTTGACAGACCTTTCCCCATGATGTCACCCTTGACGCTCTTCACTGCATCTCTTAAACCGTCAACACGCGCAGCAATTTCGTGCGCAAATCGTTTCCTCCCGTTTTCACGAATTCTATCTGCGTCTTCTCTTCTTCGAGCATCTTCTATCTCTTCAGGACTCAAACAAGTAGGTCCGCTGAGTAAGAAAGATTTGAGCACGGGAGAGCTCCCAATTGCCCTATTGTTCATGAGAGAGTGAAGGTAAGCTCTAAGGGTCAGCCTGTTCTTTTCCCGAGACAGCCGCGGTTTAGGTCTTCCATTTCCAAACTGCTGAGAAGATGGAGAGTGCGGGAGCGACTCAGATGAACCATCCGAGAACGTGGCACTGTAATCGGAGAGGATCGTGTGCGGCATCCGTGACACGGTGGAGATATTTGGAGGAGAGGTCGAGCGTGGAATATTGACGATTGTACGATCTTTGACGGGCGGGGAGGGTACCATCTCTTCAGGATGAAATTTGCGCAACTACATAGGAGATGTAATGGGCTGTGTCAATAATCCAGGCGGACAATGACGTACCTCATCTGCAAGCGTTTTGAAGTCACCATACCTTCGAGACACGCAAACCTCCCTATTTTCTGATAGCCGAGTCCTGATGATGAATTCCTATACAACGTGATGAGGACGTCGATGATTGATGAATATATGCCAGCAAACCTCGTGGACCCGGCTTCGGACTCGACCCTTGTCTGTGACAGTCCTCACACATACAATATTTACTTCGAATACGTCGCGATGTTTGGCTAACTGCGCCTGCCGCTTCTTAGCGACTTGCTCTAGCCGATCGAGGTCGTGTTGGTTGAGTCGGACGACCTCCTCTTGTTCTACTAGCTTTGTACCAGCGCTGAAAAGTAGGGCAAAGTTCCGTTCCAGAGTTTCAAGTAATTTGAGGCGAGCAGCTTTGGGTTCGTTTTCATCCTCAAGTAATGAGGTGGGTGATATGTTCTTCGCAAGAGCGGAAGCAACAAATACTTGTAGTTTATTTGAATAGAAACTTTTTTCCGCAGCTGCGAGGAGGGGGAATGTTAAAATAAATTGGCGAAAGATATACTTCAAAAAGGGTAAATCGAGGGGCTGAGCACCCGATGGGGGTGGTGTAAATGGGGCCCCAAGGTATGCAAGAGTGGAGCCGCCATCATCAGGTGCGTTTGTTATGCGATTTAGTTCTTCATGGAACTGAAGTTGTATTAGAGATTTCTTCAAGTAGTGAGCTCGGAGAGGTGTCAGAGCCAAATGGTGCTCCTCGGAAGGAACAGGATCCTGCGGATCATCATCAGTTGGCTTTGGAACAGAAGGTATCTGACGAGTTGGTCGACGTGGCCGATGCTTTGGAGTCAAGGAAGAGATTTGAGGAGGTGATGTGCTCATGACAAGGAACGCTGGGAGCCCGCAGTACTAGTAGTACCAGACTAAGTCGCCCGTCAATACAGGGCCACATGATCTTACGTACATCAGGTTAGCACTGCCACTCTAGGGGCTATTTCTCCTTTGGAGTACATACAAAGTCAACTACTGTTCGGGGTATACACTCTGGATCCCTTATACGTTCTTCGATAAGGCTCATCAAGCAACTTCTTAAGCTTAGCAGCAACCTCCTTCACACCTTGGCGACAATCTTCCATTCCCCGCCAAGTTCCGGCAACACTCCAACATTCAGAACACGCTTTCGATGCCTCGTTGACTGTGTCGAGTTCCAGCTCCCCTCTTGAATGCAACACAACCATAATATCGACAAGGCGATGGAACCCAGTACACCACGTCTGAATACCACGCTCGGAATTGGTGCTTGTATCAGTTACGAGGTATGACGATGCGAGCCCAATCGCCCGACGTAACATGGTTTGGTCGATAACGCCTGACTGTTGTGTCATACGCTTTACAACATGGATCACAAAACGGCCATAATCGGTTGGCTGGTTTTGTCTTGGCTGTTCTAGTTTTTAGAGATACCGAATTACGAATTATTCTGAAACTTACCTCCATCTCGACTTGGAATTGATTGAGCAATGATCTTGTAACAAGCGTTGAAGGATCCATTGTCAGTGTCTAAAGGAAAGAGGTGGAGTATGGTACGGCACTCACAACTTTCTTGCCTCTTCTACCTTGTCTGCTGCGATCTGGAGCCAATTGAGCTCAGGCCACTTCGGAAATTACCGAACCCCGGACTTCTTTCCGATAGTTCCCAGGTGTTCTTTAACTTCACGAAGTCGAGGCCGCAAGTAGCAAGCCATGGCAAGTCTTCTGGTTAAAATTTTGGGTGCTATGACGCCCCCACCTTTTGTACAACCAACAGACTATGATGGCTGGGAAGTTAAATGGAAATTTTTGGTTTTTCGTCCAGGACGTATGTGTTTGGAATCGGTTCTTTCCTAACGTACTCGTGCTCACTGCATGACGCAGTCTTTCAAAACCAGGCGTATCTTTTAGCTGGATTGTTGGCGTATGTAGCCATAGCCATCTACGGCAAATATGTCAACTTTAAAAGAGCCAATTCCTGGTGCGTCTGCGTCTTGAATCTCAATCTAACCCATCTTTAACGCATTTTCAGGTACAATGCTCACCTT